AAAAGCAACAGCGCCGTTTTGTTTTTGCTCTTTCGCTTTTATTAATACTTGTGCATAGTTTGTGCAGCAGGCCAGAGGCATTGGACACCAATGCCATGAAAACACTCTACTTTGTCGATCGTACAACGACAGTGGAGCCTGGCCACAATGGGGATGACAGTAGTGCGGGTTCGCGGCCTCGGCTCGTTTGCCGTGCGCATTTTTGCGGCATAACGCAAATATAATAATAAATTTCGCATATTGCCGTTGTTATTATTTTTCATAAATGAAATTGTTGTCGATGGCATTGTTGTCGTTGCTGCTGGTACTGGTGTTGGCGTTGGTGTTGGTGTCGCTGCTGTTGTTTCTGGTCGCCATTTTGGCCAGTCAACGGTTTATTGTTTCACATCATACCACCCACGGGCAGAAACAATGAGAGGGACGGAGAGGGACGGAGAGGGAGAGAGGGACGGCAAATGTGAGAGTCGCGTTCATTGCTCGTTGCCATTGCGGTTACTTTATTGTTTGCCGGAAATTGCCGCCACATTTCGAAAAGTGGCCAAAGCGAAAACTGTCATCGGAGCGGCCAGTGCGAGCCCATTTACCGCAAGTGCGGCCTGTGGTGAGCTGTGACCGGCGAGGGGCAAGCAGTGCCGAGCGGTGCGGAATACGGAATGCGTGGTGCACGGTGCGCGTTGAGGCAACCACGTAATTTGCCGTCTGATGAAGATTTACGACATGAAAGCCGCAAAATAAACGCCAAATAAAGCAAAAAGGCAAGGGCAACGGCAAAGTCATGTCACTATGGCAGGCCAAACAAGCGCCCCACACTCTTCGCCGTGATGGATGTGCGCTGCCGGCCAAGACGACAACCCTGACAACCCTATAGAGCAGCCAATTCTGCTCCTACTTCATCGCATAGGCGCTTCTGCACTGAAAACAATTATAAAATTTGTTATGAAAAACAGCGGACATTTCAGTCGGAGAATTAGTTGGGAATACTTGTATATGGAATGAGTAATTTTTCCCTTTCCTTATTTCTAATTTATTTTAATTAATATATCGATAGTTATAATTGCACTATAGTTGTTTATTATTTATCATTTTCTTATTTTATAATGTACAATCAATTACCAGTCTTGGTAATACTGGAAATTTGATTAATACATTTACATATGTATGTATAATGAATTGAACGTATGCCTTAAGAAATATATTAATAAATCGGAAAACAATATACTTGTATTAAGCCCCACCATACAGAAAAGTAAAATTTCGCGGCAATCCATTAATTCACGAACGGACTCTTTTTTAAATAAATGTCACTTTTTAAGTAGACGGCGTCAAGGACTACAACAAATACAACGCATCAGAAGTCCAACGGAAACAGTTTCTACACGAATCACAGAACAGCCAAGCTTTGCATTATTTATAATTACAACGATTTATTGTTGGGCTTATGATAGCTAAGAAATTATGAGTAGGGAATGAGGTTACAGTGTACAGACATCAGTAATAATTGTGTTCGGGATTGTTTTAGAGAAATTCCTTTTAAACCTTAGCTTGCTTTAAACAAATCAGTCTAAAACGTTAACCAAGGGATTCTCTACATAGTTTTGTATATAATGTATAAATATTTTCTTATACTTGTAAAACTTTATATAGAAACTGCGCAAGACACATTTAAAAGCGAAGAAGCAATTTTGTTTTGAGTGTATGACGGCCAACTGTTTCTGCTACTGCTGCCGGTCATTTATGTAAATTTTCTCACAAAATTAAGCACAAAATGAAGAGATTTGTCTCGTGTTTATTAGCCAAGCAGTTGCAGCAAACACAGCTCGACTATAATTCACATACACAAATACGCACACACACACAAACAGCCTATAACAAGAGATACAGCAAGTCTGTGTTTATTTTTGGCACGATATCCGCAAGGATGTGGCCGATGTAGCCTAAAAGAACCTGCCGGCCAGGGCGTGCAAGTGCACAAAATTTGCGCTGTGCTTTATGAAAACAAATGAGAAATGCCCCGGTGGGCACTTAGATGAAAGAACCATGGGCGTTAACGAGTCGAGAGTGTAGGATATCAAATGAGTGGGCGTGGTCCACTGTGGCAACAACGTGCACACTTTGCCACTCATACATATGTAAGTACATATCTGTTTTTAATGGCAACTCTATTAGATAAAACCCCAGCAGTTTTGCAACGAGGTTGATTAGGCCCGACCAGCAGGCGACTCCTCCCATCTCCTCCAAGTCCCTCTACCTCTTGTTTTGCTCTGCTTATGAATACTCCGCAGCAGCACAATAAATAATTCATGCTGCAAGTAAGTTGTCTGTGCGGAAAAGCCACATCGTCCGCCCATATTCGGCTAGATAGGAGGAGGATGCAGTCGCAGAGCCGAGAAATGGCGCTTGGTATCTTGAAGAGCGCAACTCATACGGCGGAAACAAAGTGCAATTCATTAAAGCAAATGAACGGTTTAATGCATGAATGTACACACATGAGCATAAACGGATAAGCAGCTGCGCTCGCCTGCAGCATAATTCGCATATATTTCGCTCCATACGAGTATATGAAACATTCATGGTTGCGCATGGACGAGCACTTGTGAATTTATAAATCGGAATGAGGATGTGAACTGTTTGACAGAAATAATTCACCCGACTGATAACAAAATTCAAAATTATAAACACATATTGCTTCTTCAAAAACCTACTTCAGCAACTTAAGCAACTGTGGTAATTATACTATGTACATTTCATGTACAAGAGTATATTAGGTTTGCGGGAGCTGACCCCACAAAGTATATATATTCTTGATCAGCATGACGAGGCGAGTCGATCTAGCCCTGTCTGTCTGTCTGTCTGTCTGTCTGTCTGTCTGTCTGTCCGTCCGTCTGTCCGTCCGTCCGTCTGTCCGTCCGTCTGTCCGTCCGTCTGTCAGTCTGTCCGTATGAACACCTGGATCTCAGAGACTATAAGAGGTAGAGACACCTAACTTTGCACAAAGGTGCGTTATATGTGTACGCTGCTAACATGTTTACACAGACACGAATATACGATCATATACATACATACATACTAGAGATGGGCACGGGCCGGCTATTTCCGGCCCGACACGACACGGCCACGAAATTAACTTTTAGAAACACGCACGCGCACGCACGACGAAAATTTTTCTTAACACGGCCCAACACGGCCCAACACGAACTTTTTATATATTAAATATAAAAATTAAAAAAAAAAATATTTATATATATATAAACATTACAAATTTTTATTCAGAAAGATTATCTTATCAATATTTGAGCTAAGAAGCCGAGTACGTCGCTCATTTAAAATATGTCCAGAAGTGGAAAAAACTCGTTCGCTTGTTGCAGAGCTGACAGGGATATTGAGTATATGCCTTGATAATTGCCGTAGCATTTTACATTTTGTTGTTTTTTTCCAGAATGTTAGCACACAAATTCCTGGATCAACTACACTACTTATATAGTCATCTATTTCAATATCCATTCTTGACCTGTCCAATTTAATTTTTTTTTTTTGAATTATTAGTGTCCAAAAATTCAGAAAAGTCGTGTTGACTATTGGGTGCTTCGTTTTCTGACTTTAGTGTTCTTTCGTGTTTCCTCGTGCGTGTTTTGTCGTGCCTTTTTGGCTCAACACGAACACGCACGGCCACGCACGAAATCGGAATTTACAACACGAACACGCGGGCCCACGCGTGGCACGAAGTGCCACGACAAAAAACACGGCCCGTGCCCAACTCTAATACATACACTCACATAGACGCAATTGCTTTGTATATGTGCAATTATACACCCTTTACGTGAGTTCGAATACCAAAAGAGTTAAAAACGATCAACAATTGTTTTTGTAATTCTCTTTTTTTAATTTCTATAATTATTCTAAACATATGTACAGAGTATTTCAAACTCGGGACACCCGACTTTAGCTTTTTTTACTTGTTTTAAACGATTTTTTCGCTCAGACTAATATTACCTACGCAGTTTCATTATTTCATGCACTCCTGAATAATTAAATGATCTCAAATAGAAGTTTGAAATGTAATTTGAAAAACTGGTTGTAACATACAAATTGTAAAAGGTCATGCCCTTCTGTCTGCCCTTCTATTTAAAAATAGTTATTTCTAGTGTTCCGACTCCTAAATGACTTCGCCACCTACCAGCAGCTAGCTAGATCCGAATTCCTCCACCAAACGATTGATTGCCCACCTCTTATATTATAAAATATTCCGTTTTTAGTTTGATGAATAACAATTCGCGCTCTATTTTCAGAAATATTTAGTAAAATTTGTTCCTATGCCAATCCAATTTTCCACTATATTTAACAAACTTTAGTTTTTCGAGACACTTGTGAATTCTCTGTCTTATTGTATCTGTACAGCTTTATTAAATTAACTAGCAGGTCTTGCGCGTCTTTGATGGGCTCAGTATTTTTGCTTACAATTGTAAGTTTATTTACAATATGCTATTTCTCTTCCGACACTCTCTAAAGTTTCCAAAGGAACTACCAATTGAAACTTTCCATTCCGAAAGCTATGGCATATACTTGTAGTTTAATACATACAATGTAAGGTCACAGCATACACGTACTATTTACAAATATACATATGTATGTATGTAAATTTCTGAAAAATAAAATTAATAATATTTTGAAATTAAATTGTGAAATTTCTGAAAAATTATACCGAGTACCTAAGTGCTGGCACATTGAGAATTAAATTGTGAAATTCCTAAAAAATTAAATAATAATATTGTGAAATTAAATTGTGCAATTTCTGATAAATTGAATTAAAATGTTGTGGACACCCTCCTCTGCGATTCTAATACCAAGTACCTAAGCGCTGGTAAATCGAGAATCAAATTGTGAAATTTCCCAAAAAATAATTAATAATATTGTGAAATTAAATTATGAAATTTTTTATAAATGAAATTAAAATATTGGGGGCGCCATCCTCTGCATTCTCCAACCCAAGTACCGCCCATAGATATAGTTAGTTATCTTTATTAGTTTTTCTCTTCGAAGAATAAACTGATGCCTTTGCATCATGGCTTCACTTCATTCACATTTATTATCACACTTAAAATTACTGGCTACCTAGGTAAAAGAGGAGATGCTGTATTTAGTTTTCAGCATTTGTTGGGTGTAGACTTGAGCAACTTGAATCTAGATTAAATTCATTTGGCAACTATTGGACGACAGCATCATTACTGTCTGGCTATTCTAATGAGGAAGTGGGAAGCATGTCTCTTGTATAAAACAAGCGATATGTTGACCAGGAATGGTGCAGCCAGCCAAAAGACACGCGTTCCGATGCCCGTCTCTACGCGATAAAAGATACCCGAGGCGGCACCACGCCCCGTATTGCAGAAAGATTCCTCGCAGCAGGAGGTGCAGGCGTAGAGCTTGGTGCGCTCTCCAATTATTATGCAGCCGGGCTCACAGTTCGCAGTGCATCGACGATCCAGCGACCACATTTTTGGAGAACTAGTTGAGTTCTCCGTGCTAGTAGTATAGGAAAATCGCTTCACCTACCAAATCGAATAGCACGCATTACTCGTGTATTGATGGGCACATACACAATAAACCTACCATGCAAATGAACTCCTCACCCTGGCACTTCTTCATCAGCGCTGTGTCGTTACGCACAGCCACATCAACACAAGCCTGTCCATCATCCATGGTATCGCAAGAGTAACACCACAGCTTGTTGACTCGCTCGATAGCTGCAGCAGTGCGGTGGATGCCACCAGTAAGAGATGTGCCAATGCTACTGCTCGCACTGGAGCCCGATCCGGGCGAGCTGGTGCCTGTGACTGCCGAAAAGTCCCAAGTGCCGCATTATTGATTTTTTTTTTTCTTGCGCCAAGGCCGCAGTCTTCAAGTCACTTACCATTGTTAACGCAGGCCGTGAACACTATTGACGAGCTGGTCAGCACAAAGTAGGCAACTGTCAGAAGCACCCTAGACATGATGCCTGCAGGGGCAGAGCCTATTTCTGCCCGCCCGTCTTCCTAAACTAAACTAAAATGCAAATTACGTGAGCGCGGAACGTTTGTTTACCAAAACACCTTGGCCATGGCTGCTGCTGTTGACAGAAATACTGCGAATGTCAGACAAGGCACAGATTCCAAGGACATGCGCACTCACACTTTAGTGAGTTCACAAACCATTTGAAGGATTTCTATGGAAATCATATGTTTACAGTACATATGCTGAACTTTTGTAAGGTTTGAAGGCAGAACAGGATCGACGATATTGCTTAGCTGCCGTTTGAATAGAACAAAATATCTTAAAGAATAATTTATTTGACAGACAGAAGGAGGCTTGGCATGAATGGATAGACAACCACTGACACCAAACCTGATATGTAGACTGTTCTAATCCATCCATTCATGACCACATTATTTTATATAGCTGACATAGGATTGCAGAACGCATATTCAGTCTTCTTAATATCTATATATAAACGGAAAGTTTTACAAGCCCTTAATTTTAAGTTGATTGTAAACTAATTAATTTTATTTATTTTAATAATACCAGTAAAGTTAATATAGAAAAGAAAAGAAAAATCCAAAGGTTTTTTACTTAAGTTGTTTTTTTTTTGTTTATTATTACATATAAATTTGGAATTACAGACTGCTAAGTGGCATAAGACAGAAATAGAAATAAGGCATATTGCGAGTTCAATACAGTCGCAAATATTGTAAGGCCTGGCGACTTTGCATCGGATAGAGTTCGCCCACATTGTACATGAGATCCACGATATGGGTGGGACGCAGCATCCGCCAAGGCATGAACTTCAGGGTCTTCTTGTCGCAGTGCACATCCTTCTCTATCTCTAGTGGTAACGGAACCTCATTGTACAGCATACGTCCATCGACACTGCGCTGCAGAGTGCTGGGCAGTCCGATCTGGTCGGCAAAGCACTTGAACAGAATGGCACGCTCGAACTGGCAGCCACTGCGCACCGTGCCCAGAGGAATAAAGTTCGTGTGGTAGATGTAACGCAGCTCTAGCAAGTGACAACGCACAGTATGTCGGGAGCACTCCTCTGTGGTGTTTAGATCCAATATATTTAGGTCTTCACTCATTACACTGGCCACGGCCTCAGCTATAATCTTGCTGCGCTTTGCAACATTATCGAAGTCAATGCTGCGACGGATTTTATCTGGATTCTCGACCAGACCGTGTAACTGTAAAGAAAATGTGATGTGGGTGAAGGGGCCCGCCAATGGCATCGTGGGACAATATATATTGTACCTCTTAAATCAAGAAGAAACTTAATAAATGTCATACTTACGGCCAATGTTTGGTTCAAAGCCTCTAGGTACTGCGGCAAAAACTCATCGCCAGGTCGTTTGCAATAGCACCACTTTGCATTACTTGGGTGCCCTTCCGCGAAGTCCATACAATGTGGTGGTACATCTATAACATCATTTTCATCTGCGATGGGTCGGTCAAAATTTACGACGAACACCGCATCGAGGGGTGAGCAGTCCATGCGCAGTATGTCCTGCAAGCAACGAAAGTCTTCAAACTTGCGTTTCGAGATGTAGAAATCCTTGCCGGCGGTTATATCAGTGAAGCCGAGATAGTTACGTATGCCAAACTTCATAGTAGGACACTTGGATAATATGCTCTCAATGGCTGGTCCCCAGGTGGATACACAAAATGCGTGCTTTTGGAACAACATTAAGCTAGAAAAAATAGAACATAGAAAGGGTATTGACATATAAAAACAAAAACCCACACTTCTAATACTCCGCGATCGATGTACGCATCGACAAATTCAACAAATCGTGTGGTCTGTAGTATAAAGTTAGTTACAGCTGTCTTTATAAGATTGGACAGAGACTTCAGTGCCCGTTTAATCGATGATACTATATAGTTTTCAAGCAGCACCTCGCGCACAGGCTCCTCATCGATGATTGTGCAGAGGCACCGGAATATATTGTTCACCAATATGGAATGGGCGTACGAACGCTAAAGTTACGAACAATAGGTAATATGTTTAAGATTGAATTTCCTATTGCATATTCTTACCATCAGAAGCTGTGCAATTTGCTCAGTGAGGGCTCGATTCTCACAAATCTTGGCACGGTATTCTTCATTTTGTGCGAGACTCTCGATAACCACTAGTAGAGATAGTATCAAATCTATGGACAATGCTGGCAAGCCCTGTTGGATTATTTTTGTAAGCACATCCGATATATTTAATGCCAAAAGCTCCTCAGCCGTGTCCCGGAAAGCTACTACCAATAAATGGCCAATTAGTTCAGCTGCCTGCTCACGTGTCTTTATCATCACCTCCGGGGATAGAATAATATTTACAAGCTTCTGGATTATACCTTCTGGGTATTCGGCCACAAAACGACGTAACGCCTCTGGGTGATCAATTAAACGGTTAAGCCCGATTAAAACATATGTGGCCGGAGCGGGTTGGTTGTCCAATAGACAGTGGATGAACATATCCGTTATGCCAGCTGCATGTATGCGTGCTAAAAACTGTGGATAATTGGCGGTCTCGGCAAATATTGAAATTATAGTGCAACGCAGCTCAAAAGCCAGAAGATCCATGTCCTCTTTCAACTGTTCCACAATCAAATCGAAAAGATTGTGCTCAAAAAACAGCTTTGTCATTTTCTCCGAGCGCAATGCCGTGGCCAGCACGTCGATCACATCGAGCGCATCAAAAGCTTGGGGATCTTGACAGAAATACTTTACCAATTGCTGCAAAACGAAAAGGCAACGATGCTGTGGCTCCCACACACTTGTGTCCCCAGTGTCGGCTAACAGGAGCTTGAGAACCTTGCGTGCTGCCTGACGAATTTCCTCAAATTCGTTTGACACCTCGCAGATTATGCGATCTATAGGAAAGTCGGGCTGCGTGGTAAACTGAAGCATGTCTTCGGCGCTTTGGACTTGCAACATTTTATGCAATGCATCGATGGAGTTATAAACGGTGTCCGGGTTCTGAGAGCTCACAAATATGTTCTTCATTTTGTCCAGAAACTCTATATTCTCTAGAATGCTTTGCGCCACCTTCGGATCACGTAAGCACATATTTACAATATAGGTTAAATATTCAATGCAGAAATCGTCGTTCTCCTGCAGATAAAATTTATAGCTTATATCAAGAATCTTTTGTGTCTTCTCCGTTTCAAGTTCACTTAAATCGGTCTGATCCATAAGCACTGTTATAAGATACAGTGCAAAACGTCTAATTAGAACAGTATCTGATGTAATAAAAAACTCTTTTTCCAATAGTAACTCCAACATTTGATGTTCCTTCAACTCAAGCATATTCGAGTCTTGTCGTCGTGCAAAATCAGTAATGTGGTTAAAGACAGTTAGCAAAACCGCCTCTTCCTTGGAACTTAACAACAACAAGGCCGTGTCTAGGGTTTTTATGACCACATTCAAGTCTGAAAATGAATTTTCTTCAGATTTGGTGCGATCAGGATATGAGGAGCGGGCGTCGTAAACACGTTTTGTTGTTTTCGACATTATGAATGCAATGTTTGTTGTAGCTAAAGTTTAAAACAACTATTTTAGATAGATTAATTAGTGGAGTTTTGAATATGTCTGTGACTGTAGAAACGCAAGGCTGACTAGAAAATGCCCTATAAAAATAATGTTATACCATTTGAAAAGTTATCTTTCTTGCACGCAAGTTATGTAACCTGTGTCTACACTACGCTAACTAGTACACATATTTGTTCGTTATTTTCAATTTTTCATTTATTTCCCAGAACTGTTGAAACACCATCAGATATGTTATCATTGTTCATATGAAAATTGATCCCGGAATATCTCCATTTTGTTAAATAAATAAAAAGAAAACACAAATTTATTTTAAATTTTTTCATGTAATGGCCGGTCTAGATGTTATAAAAATGTGTTTGTTTTTATTAAGTAAACATACATTTTTAGGCCTTTTTTTAAATCATGGAAATATTCTACAACCTAGATTGCAATTGTATAAGAATTTGCCGAACAGCAGTCGAAAAATACGGCCACACATCTTGAAAATTTAGATTTCAATTTTTCCGATGGTGTACAAAATTGTTTCAATGCGTTCAATCCGTATTGTATCCTATTTTTTACTTTTTTTTATATGATTAATAGTTGTCAAATATAGAAAACCTGTAGGAATACCCCGAAAAATTAATATTAATTTTAAATAAAATGGATTTTTTGGCATTTTTAAAACACTCATAAGCCATAAAAAGTGGCCAGCGCGTCGCTTGGCCTTCTGCTGACGAGCTGGCAACACTAAGCCATTGAAATCATATTAACGGCACCCAAGCGAACGGGGTGGAAAAAGGAATGTGCAATAACGCGACGCTTGTTTGGGATGGCATCACTGTATTATTGCGCTGCCTACAAATTTAACAAATTAGGGCAATATTTGTGAGAAAAGTTAACTGAAAAATAAATAGGTGTTTTTAAAAAAAAGTAATAGAACCAAAGTGTGTAAGAGCTGGAGCATACGGGACTGAAAAGGTGGCAATAACAAAAAGCCCGCACTATGGTCAAAACAACAAAAAAGCGAACAAAAAATACAGTCTCAGCAAGGGCTCGATCGGCCGAGAAAGAAAATGATGAGGAGCGGGCCTCGGTGGTGGCGCGTTCCGTGGGCCAAGGACCCATGTATACGATTTTATCAAATGCACAACTCAACGAGACTTTCCACAAACGCTATATTAAGGAAATGAAGAAACTGTACTCACAGGTATGTATGTAGGTGCAAGGACGCAGTGGGCTGAAAGCATCTACATATCGATCGCCCCCAATTATTATTGAATATCGTTGACTTGCAGTTGGACCACGATGCCTTTGTGTTCACATTCATAAAAATGTTGAAGACCGTCCTGGAAGCCGAGGATCACAACGAGTATGGCAACACGGCACTCTCATTTTGTGCCAAATTTGTCACATCCTTTGAGTCGGAAAAGACACATCCAATGCTTGCAGCAACATTCAATTGGCTGCTTTCGGTAAGTCGTACTGTACTTTTCGTTTATTTACATTCCCTAATAATCAGCGGTTGTCGTGTACTTGCAGACAAAATCGAACGTCCCGCACATACGGTATCGAATTTGCTTCTTTGTCAATCTCATTTTAAAAGAACTTGGACCGTGTGCGGCACTAGACGACACACAATGCGACCAAATCCTCAACTATATGCTCGACCGGTTAACTGATATTGCTGCCAGTGTGCGGAAACAGGCCGTGCTGGCTATGCAGCGTCTTCAAATGCCAGAAAACCCAGACGATCTCGTGCTGCGTGCCTATCAGTACCATCTAAGTTCCGACCCCTCGTCCAGTGTGCGGCAGTGCGTCATCACGTGCATGGGGCGGAATTATTTGACGGTGCCGTATATTTTAGAGCGCCTGTGGGACGTTGATGAGAAAGTGCGTCGCCACACTTACCTAAACATGTGCAACTATCCCGTGCGGTCCTACAAAGTATCACAACGTCTGACGTTGATGGAACAGGGCCTGAACGACAACTCCGAGAGCGTGCGCAAGGCAGTTGTCAACTATATGATAAAGCAATGGATCGAATCATATCAGCGCAATTTTGTTGCGCTTACAGCAGCGTTGAAATTGGACTCCAATGAGGAGGAATTGCTTCGGTATAAGCGCGTCGCCGGCCAAATGCTGGAGGTCATATTTGAGCAGACAGATAACGCCGAACTGTTGGCCCAGCTACCACTGAGCGAAGATTGCGAGCTGCATCGTTGCGTACCGCATGAGGAGCTAACGGTCGAATTGGTTCTCTACTGGCAATGTCTCAGTGGTTACTTACAGCGGACGCATGCTGATGAGTGTGACCAAGTGCTTCCCGAATTAAGCGTCTTCTGTGCCTACGTTGAAAAGTAAGTGCGAAGTACATGAAATTTTCGAGGATCAATCCCATTAAAAATTCTACTTCGCAGATTTTGTCACTTCCAAAAACCAGACATGGACAAGTTCGCGCAAGTTGAATTTCAATGCATGTTGTTGTCGTTGGTAGAAATTCTGCATTCTTACGATCTGGGCGATGAAATCGGCCGCAATAACTTAAAGCTGCTCATCAAACAACTGCTAAAAGATTGCCTACTTGATCACAAGATTGTCAGTGTACTAGTACGATCTATGGAGCAGCTGATTACCGATGTGAACGAAAGAATGCAATGCTTTCTCGAGATCATCTACGAAATTTGTGAACTAAATTCGAAACAGAACGATTTGGTCCACGATCGTAATTTGATGAATAAGTTGCTGGACGACTTGGATACCACCTTGAAAATGAAGGTTTCATCGCTGAAGCTTAAGATTCTCGAACTTGAGGAGCAGGAAGAGGTATTTGTGCGTCAAAAGGAGTATATCCGAGCGCAGGCTGTGAATGATGAAAAAGTTTCCGTAACAGAGGAGTATACGGAACTAATCAGGCCGCTTCTCGAGAAGCATGGCATTGTGGAGCTGACGGTTGTGCCAAAGCTTTCAAAGAAAGAACGCATTATAAAGAGCCTGTATATGGCGCACTATCTAGTTGCTTCGGTGCACGTGAAATCCCTAAGTCCCAGTTTGTGCAAGCTATATAAGGTAAATTTTGGGATTGCTTTCAAATTCAATTGCTTGAAGTAAGCATAATGTACATGTACTTACAGGATCTAATTTGTCGCCAAATGGCTTCCACGGAAACAGAAATTTTCGAATGGGCCATTAAATGCGGCACTACATTCAGCATGCTATATGAATCCTACGCCAAGGAGGTATTCGAGGTCCTTATCGATCAATTTTACAAAGATAATAACTTGGAACTATGGGAAACTTCGGCCACCTGTATTTTCATGCTTATGGATCACTATGGCGTTGAGAATTTTATTGACATCAATCAAATTGGACAACCACTTAAAACCAAGCGTCGTCAGCTATACACAATGCAAGACTTTTTTGATGGTGAGGAGGATAAATCGCAGCAGAGCTCCGAGCAGAATACAGACATTATTGGCATGATGGGCCATTTTGTGGAAAGAGTGGTAGACAAGGGCATTGGACTTGCCATGGTTAAGGGCCTCTGTCGCCTGGTATTGCGTCGTCAATTGGACGATCGTGCCGATGTTCACGAGAAGCTCCTAAAGCGATACTTCAATCCAAATACTGGTAAGAGATAGCTGAACAAACTACGAACTGTTTATTTATTTACAAGTCAATCATGCATTTTTTTCAGAGCCGATTATTAGTCAAGCACTAGGTGAATTTTTCCAGCAAATTATGGCTGGAAGAATGCAACACATATTACAACCTTGTCTTCTCCCCACGGTGTGGTCCATCTTCAACTGTAGCTTTGATTCCCCCCTGCACGATGTTTTACCTGAAAACGTGACGAAATTTATAATCGATCTGACCCACCAGGAAGTGAGCACTCCAATAAACAATATACACAACAAAATCGCCCTTAGCTTCTTGGATTACATTCACAAATATTTTACGGAACGCAAAGAAATGTGTCGTCTCTTGGCCAAGGAGCTGACCAATCTACAATTAAATGTGCGTCTAAATGCAGAAATAAAGGCCGAATTACAAGAGATGGCAGACAAGCTAATACAGGTAAGAAAATCAATTGGAAAATATTGAAATATCACTCTAAATGAAATGATTTGCAGAGTGAACTCGAGCCACGAATGATACGCAACATTGTAAACTTCAAAGGCATGTTGGATGGCAATTTCAATCCGCCCTTTATTCGGCAAGACGGCAATGAAAGTGATGATGAGTGCGACAGTGTCACGGTGACCACTACATCAGAAAACACTCAAGCGCCGGTAACTGAAAGCGAAGAAATTACTCCAGCAGCAATTCCACAAGATAATATTGAGCGGCCGCCTGAAGACACGAATCAAGTTGCAACGACCACAAGTACAACAGAGAGCGACCCACCAACAGCAGAGCAAGTGCTTACCACATTTGGGCAGGATAATCAAGTAGGAATCCGCTTTCTGCGTAGATCGCTGCACAAATCTATCAGTCATTCGGACGCGGAAAGCGTTGCTGGTAGTGACAGAACACGCAAATCAAAGACACCCGCGCGCAAACCTACCCAAGACGAAGAAAACAAAGCCAGTGAAATAAGCAAACGAAATTTACGCAGACCGCAAACGCAGCGGCGTTTAGAACATGCAATGGCGCGCGCCTCTAAAACGCCAGAAAAGGCGCCTAGTCCGAGAGTTGACAATTCGAGCTCCAGTTCTTCCACGGATACGGATACGGTAAGACATTTTACTCAGAACCACCTGATTGCAACGATCATTTAAAACATATTCAAATATCGCAGGACACATCGGAGGTTATAGCCGCATCACCAACATCGGAATCACCAAATGTCGTAGGAAATGCAAGTCGTCTGCGTCTGCAGCGATCGATGCGCAATAGAAATACCAGCCAACACCCAATGGCCGCCAGCAAAGTGAGTACAACGCGTTTGCGCATGCAACTCTAGACTGAAAGGTGGCAGGAGTAGAACGCGTAGGAGACGTAGCAGTAGGCCCCCTCTTGCCCACAACATCATCTCAAAGGCCAACAGCACAAACCACAAAACGCACTGAAACTTTATTTCATAGAACTCAGAATGCATATTGACAATTTGTACATTGTTTCACAAAAAAACCCAATATTCACTTTTTAAACAAAAGTAACAATTATACCTATGTCTAGTTTACGAAATAAGCTATAATTCACAACAAACAGAAATGTTTTTAAAACTAAACCACCATATGTTGTTTCCTTTGGTGCGCTTAAAAGATAAGTTAGCTGCTAACGCTATTTAATCTCTTAGGTGTCGCTTTGACTTACGTTTATTTACGTTTTCTTTTAACAATTCTCTCTTCTTTTTATATATTGCCTTATGTAGTGCAAAGTTCTACATCTTGAAAAGCACACGCCATTGCGCAATGGACGCAAACGTTTATTACGCAAATCCCCGCCGCACTCCAAGACGCAGTCCTCAGACAGCGCAACGTCTCCAAACCGGATAACACCGCGACGCAAATTGCAACGCATCGAGACAGTCGTCAAGCAGCACCAGGTGCCTAAAATACAGAGCAGCATTGTTGCCACAAATTCAACAATAGCAACAGCCAGTCCGACGGATAGCACATCATCCGTCAAGGAAAATAAGGCGCCTACAAGAGCCACTATCGCCGCAGTAAGCTCACCCAAGCCCAGTGAACCCACGAGGCGAATGACGTCGAGATCAATGCATGCACCAAGCACCACCGGCACACCCATCACTGTCGTAATCACACGGAATTCGGCGCGAAACCTGCGCATAAATTCCATGTGTATGACACGCAAGCGCATGTCCCAGGAGCTGAATGTTAGTGGTGGTCAGTTAAAGGTATCAACGCCAAAAAGAGTGCAGCGATCGTCGAGGGCCGAATTAGCAGCATCAAACAAAAGGATGAGCACCAACAGAAGGAGCAACAGCACCACAAAAGCAAGTGAGGCCAACAGTAGTAGTGCGGGAGAAAACAAAGGTGCATCCACATCCAGCAGGTCGACACGCACGAGGGCACTCGGAGCAGCAACAGTAGCACCCAAAACACGCGCGCGACGGAAATAGCGACTATTCTCAACCTGACCAACGCCAGTCTATTCTCAAATTATTCAAATAACATTAATTATACGCCTCGATTGTTATTAATTTTTGAGTGTTGTGTGCTTAGGTCTGAACTATTTGCCCATGTGCTGGTATGGCACATTGTATATTTCATTTCATAGTATATGTATATGTGTTTATTTGTAAGTTTAAATATTTTTTATATAGCAAACATCTCAATAATTCGATCAGAACAAACAGTACGTTATAGACATTTAGGCCCCACTATCTTAGCTAGTAAATTTTGCATGTTATATGTATTTTGAAAAAATATATAGTCTCCAAACGCTATTGTTGCAACACATGACTTTTAATGACCATCTCCTAAAATTGGCAATTGTATTTCCAATAATTCTCCATGATCCAATCTCCTTCATTTCTATTCGACTTCTTTGATCTTAATCGTGAACGTTTTAAATAAAATCAATTTTTAATTAGAAGAATGTAAACAATAAAACTGTTCCAGAAAAATGTATAATTTATTAATGGTGCATATGAATGTGAACGATCTTTTGATTAATCTGTATAATCGCATGAAAACTGCTTATATAGTTAGTGCTACACATTGTATTATTTTATAAGTACACATGCTGAGATTCTATCATACTCGCACATTGTGGCGTATGATATACAGGAAACAAAATTTTGAGCAGTGTTCGATAAGTTTGAGATGAACTTAAGAATAGATAAATAGAATACATTTAACTCAAGGCAACGGAGGTTTACATTCCAAATCCAATATGCACTGACCACAAACTCATACTCTTAAATGTGGCATCAGTTTTATACTTGGATACCCTTCAGTTTCAACGCTGTTGTATGCAAATCCCATTCGTATTTCTGCAGCGCTTCGAAGGATTCGGTCAAGCTGAGATTGGCATCTGCCAATATGTTTTGCAGTTTTATCAACTTAATCGACTTGTGCACGTCCCAGTTTATGAACTCCAAGGCGTTGAGGCAACGCGTAGGTGTGCTCTGCAAAATGTAAATGTAATTAACTCAATATTCGGTTTAGAAATTCACTTGTACTATGAAGCAGCACTCACATCTTTGCCCAGCACTTTGACCATTATGCGAACTTCATCGGAATCTACGCCGCGTTCGCAACCTTTGGGCTTCTTGTCAGAGAACTCAAGCAAGTCCTCACAGCTAACTGAATTGGAGTCCGCCAAACGGTTTGCTGTGGCTGCAAAATATTCGGCCTCCGTTTGTTGCTTGGCAGGTGCGGCTTTTGAGACACCTGTTGGCACAGGGGTCGATGGCGCAGAGGATGTTCTGCTGCTGGCACTGCCACTCATGGCCAAGTTGACGGACGCGCGCACCTTCTTGAACAGCGCATTGCCGGCCAATTCGTTATCGGCACTCGAAGTGCGTCGCGTGCTCTCTGGGCTTAACTGTTGTGCGGCTTCCACTGCTATATGCGTTTCCTGTGGTGTTTGCTCAGCGTCTGCAACAACGCCCGTGCCTGTGGTTGTGGTTGCCATCTTGCGATTGCTCTCCACATCCAGGTTGCGGCGCTCATCGTCATTTACATAGAGTCCAGACATTTGACCTGCATCGATTTCCACATCCTTGCGCTTGTTGTAGTGCTCCTTCTGTATGGAAAAGCTGTAAAAGCCATCAGTCACATCGGGTGATAGCAGCACACACTCTTTATTCGAGTCCGCCTCCATTATGGATTCGAATTGCAGGGAGGCGGTGTCGGTCAGGCCGGCTGCATCGGCGGGCGCCAGTTTGTCCAAATTCTGATAGGTGTGTCCATCGGCAAAGGATGTGCTGCAGTTGCTGACACTGCGTCTGATACCAGCGGCACTTATGGCGGGCATGTTTTCATAGCTGGCTTCCCTGCTGCGGCTGGCCTGACGCATGGAGCGGGAACGCACCGCGGCTACGACCTCAATGGCGCGCGTAGCTTCAGCAGATTCCTTTCTGCTATTGTCACTGGGGGCGGCGGAGTTGGGACTTGTGGGTGTGGAGCCTGTATCCTCACCACCAGCAAAGTGCGCCAGCTTGCTCAGCGTTCGTTGGACCCCATTGGCAGGTATGATCAATGGATATTTACGCACATGGCGCTTGGCATTAGTCTTGACCTGCTTTTTGCCCTCGCGCGGGGGCAAGGGTATGGGATTCGCATCCGCAGGCGAGCTGCCAGCAGCCTCAGCTGTTACATCGGGAAATTTGTAGGAGCCATGTGTCATGTAGCTGGGGCTTTCACAGGGCGCTTGCGTCTCCCCATTGCTCACAATCGAGTTGCAGTTCTCGTCATTCGACTTGACGATGGCGGCCAGTTGGGCATATCTCGCGCGTTGAGCTGCGCCACGTGTGGGCAGGGTCATCGGACGTGGCGCCTGCTGCTGCGGCATGCTCAGTGGAGGCAAAGCATGGGGCAATGAAGCGGCAGCTGTCGAAATGGCCCCCACGCTGGCCAGCCGACGTGGAAGAGTCTTCGCATTCATCATGTCGAATTCATCAGTGTCCATGTGGCGCAGCAATGTTGCGGCCGGACTCGGTCCAATGTCCAGCATATTTCGGCGCTCGATCAAACTGTTGTAGGCCTCGCGACCCTCCTCGCCAATGAGCGACTGTTGGGTGAGAGGGAACGACACAAAAGAAAGCAGGCAAGGAAATGAAATGAAAATAAAATTTGATGTAAACACTTAAAATGAAAATCATTAAAGATACACTGAAAAAATATATACAAGTAAGTATGTAGAAGGGACAAATCAAAAATCTCACGCACCGTCTTCTTTTTCATGGTAGTTTTCTTTATTGAATCCCTTTAAATATGATCAACATTTTGATTACCAATAATTCCTTTTTAGGGGTTTAGAATGCAAATTTTTCATTTATTTTAATGTTAGCATTTAATTTTTAATTGGGTTTTCTTCTCTCTTTTTTGTATTTTTTAAATTGTTGAAACGCTTCAAACGCATATTTTAGAATATCATTTTGTAGTGTGTACTGTATATTTGAAATATATTTACTTTTAAGTATTTTGTATATATATACTTCTTTTTTATTCTATATTTATTTATATATAGTATAATTAATTTGTTTTAGAGTATCAATTGTATAAATGCATGGTAAGCAAATATCTGATAAGTTATAAAAAATGTAGATATTAGAAATAGCTGAATAGCTTTGGTTAGATGCAAATACCTTTAAGAGTTTTCTCATTTAAATAAATATCAAGATTTCTTCTTCTCATGCTGCTATGATAAGTATTTATCATTTAGATTAGAGTTAAAGTTGAGATCGCTTAAATGCTCTCTGTGCTGCGACACTTGGGTTCTTATGGCTTGTCTTAAGTCAAAATGCAAGCATAAGGATATGGCACATAAAAGTTTTGCATATGTAAGAGAGTTTTGCAACGATTCCAATTTCGATTTCAACTGTAGTGGGTCACTTGTTGAATGTTATAGTCGATGATGTTGTTGTTGTTGGTTGTTGGTTGTTATTGTGGTTTGCGCTTTTGAGGATTGTCAACGGTTGTGTTTATATGTGTGTTCCTTTTATTGCTGTTGTTATTTGTATTTGATGTGTTCAGTTATTCATATATCTTTTTAAAGTCCCCCCAATGATTCTCGCATGATTATCCTCCAATACCCTGTCTTGGTGAATTCAATGTAGAGTGTGGGTGTGGGTGTGTGTGTCTGTGAGTTTGTATCTGTTTTTGTTATGGTTTTTATTGTTGCTGTTGCTGTTGTTGTTGTTGTATTTGTATTTGTAATACTGTTGCATGCAGGAGCACCAAAGACAACAAAGCTCTATTTGAAACATTAGTATCAATGTACGAAAATTGTAAATTGTTTTTGTGTTGTCCAGTGGCGGCTGCATTGGCTCAGTGGCCTAGTTTTGGAATATCATTTGGAAGCTTGCTTCGTTATTTGAGTGACTTCGAGTCTTATGCGTTAAAATTTGAGATTTTATATTGCTTTCTTAATTGCTGCTATTACTTGATTGCTTGGTGTTTTTTCTGACTATTTGTTTTGGAGTTTCCTTTTGGGCACTTATGCGGCACGTTTGGAGTACTTTTACAAGCAGACGCCGGAAAATCGTATGCTTCAGCAATTATGGTTTGAGCGGACTGAAATTGTCTCACGATTTTCCGGCTTGGCAATACACAGAGATCAGAGCTCCTGTAAAAAGTTTGTGCGCCACATAAATGATCGGAACTATTGACAGTGCGTTTTTTATTTATTTATTGCTTATTGTTTTCAATTCAACTGTTTGTATTGTAAAAAGTGCATGAGGAAGTGTGGCAAACTTCCATTGGCAAGTGCACATTATTATCCGTTCTGAGAGGTTTTCGGTGTTTCCAATAAGGCACACTCTCAAAAAAATTAAATCGAAAAAATATATATACCTTTAATTTGTTTGGTTTTTGTTTTTCTTCGTTCTTTTCGTTTTGTTTTTTGTTTCTTGTTTTTTTTTTTTGCTATGCAGGCTGTAAATATTTCTACAATTTACTTTTCGACAGTCCTCCTAACCACACCGCACACACACCCAACCCACCCACACATACACACACATCCCAACACAATACGAGATCCTTTGCGCCGCTCTAATCAGACAAAACATTACCGAACAGTAAATTGAGAACATATTTCAGCATTTTCCTTAGTTATGGCGCCGGACTTGGCGGTATATGAGGCGCGAATTCCCGCCTAAACTGAAACTCATCCCCACTCTCCGTGCTGGAAGACGAGGTGCTTTCACTGGAGCCGCCCGCCACCGCCACCACCGCGGTCGTCGAGTTGGCGATCGCCCCACGAAAGACGCTGGAGCCCACAACCTGTTGCTTTTGGTGCTGCATCTGTCGCCAGTGCTGCTCGTGCTGCTTCACAGCCGAGGCATGTATCTTCTCCGGCCAGTGGAACTCCGTCGGGCGCTGTGGCTTACCTCCGGAGTTAGCCATAAGCAACTGCAGTGAATTCGCCGACAGTTGGCGTTGCTTGAGCTCATCAGGCGATGAACCCACGAAGTTAGTGGACGTGGGACTCTTTCCGGTTAACCGACTAACGTCGAATTCATGCAGCGCTGTGCCACTTAAGGGGCGCAGCACTGAGGCACCACCTCCACCCCCATTTGAGCAATTGGTACGATAGGTGGCATTCACAGCTGAAGAGGCAGCTGACGAGGATCCTGAACCTGAACCAGGCAGCTCAGCCCCATTGAGCATGTAGTTTGGCGGCTTTTGTAGCTGGAACACATTCTGTTGTGCAGGTGCGCCACCGTAATTATTGCCAGGCCCACGTCCGCCAAAGTCATAAATGCGCTCATCGTAGTTGAACTGCTCGTATGTGGTGCGGCAGTGGAAGCTTCGCCGATTTCCGCCCCCAAAATTGTAGTGCGGAGCGGACTTAATGCTGGAATTGGAGCCGTAAATATTGCGTGGAGAAACAACGATCTCGCGCTCGTCGTGGCCGGCAGACTGCACCTGTCTGTTGAGCCCGGGACGACGACGTCTGTAGAGGGAGGAAACCCTTGCGCGTATGTCACACTCGGAGCGTGCTAGATTGGGCTTGCAGCTGACGCCAGCACTCGCCGCTTCCTCCTCGCCGCTCGAAGAGCTCGAGTCTAGCGTCATGGGGTTGTAGCTCAGGCGACGCAAGGTGCGCGCGCGAATGGACCGCGGTTTGTAGGAGGCCGAGCGCCTGGGCAACGTTGTCTCATGCGTCGGGCGTTTGCAGTATGGAGCTTGCTGCTCTGCTTTGAGAGCGCTATGCTTAATCCTTTGCTGAGGCTCTGACAACACCGGTGATATAGGATTAAAATTCTCCGTGAAGGAAGTCGAGCGTTGCCGATAACTTTTGCTCGCTGCACCAGCTTCGAATTTCAACTGATTGGGAGAATAAACAGAGGTATTGCTCACATTCAGGGTCGACTTTATGGGAGAGGCGCATGACAATAGCTGTGGTTTCGTCTGGCCGAAACGTTCGTAGCCGCTGAGCTCATCCTTTATGCCCGCGTTAAACACCGCCTCACTTTTATAGGGAAAGTAACTCTCCTGCGGACTGTAGCTGGACTTTTGGCTGCTCCGGCGTGAGAGCGAGATATTCGTGTCACGCGAGGCAAAGCCCGTGTCCGGCGTACTCGAGCGTTTGTCCTCGATAAGCTGCTTTTGCTCCTGCTGCTGTTGCATTTGCTCACTGTGGGCAACGGCCGCGCTTAATTGAGCCTGGTTGTGCATGTACTGCAGATGCTTGTCCAGATGGCTGGTCGCGGCATTGAAATCGAACATAGTCTGCACTCCGTTGCTATAGCTATAGACTGCCGACTTGAGACTCCCAGTAGCACTGCTGATGCCGTCGTCCAGTGAGGAGATCATGTGCGGAAATTGATCGTTGAGAATTGTCTCATTGGAATCGCTCTTGTCCAGCTCAGTGTACGTGTGCATAAAATCCAAATTCAGGGCCTTGAGGGTATTTTCAATATCCATGATGTTGTCGTTAATACTTTTTGCCTCTCCCGTGCGATTTAGCGACGAACCGACTCCACCACTGCCCGCGCCATCAAGTGTTAGCGGACGGCTGAGAATTTCGCGCGACTTCTCGAAGCAAAAGTCCGAGCTCTCCTTATCAAAGATGGGAATGCGTAACTCAGTGCTGTTCTTAATTTCGCTCAAGGAGCGAAATCGCTACGCGATGTGAGGAAGGAGGCGATTTAACAAATAAAATATAGAAAAACGATGCGCGCGCGCCAAAGCAAAGAAATTAAAATTGCCAATGAAAACAAGGGAATGAAGGGACACCGAAATGAACAAAACAGTAGAAAAAAGAGCAGAATGGAGATAAAAACTTGTGTATTAGAAATTGCATAATTGAAATCACTTTCGGTGAAAGGGGTCATTGGTCCAAGCTCTATATACTAATAATAATTGCGAAAATATAAATATTGCTCAGCTCACCTGTATATCGGGTATGCTTTGCAGTTCCTCTGTGAAGTTCTTCTTCTTGGAGAAGGGTGACGCATTGCCATGAGTGGGCGTATGTGCTCCTCCTGATCCTGAGGTGCCTGTGGGGGCGCCTCCACTCGATTTGTCGCCGCTGCTGCTCAAATGTGGGAACCGAAAGCTGAACTTGCGTTTCGGACTGTGGGTTGCTGGCGCATGTTCTGAAACCAAATCTACCATAGATCTGTAAAATGTACAAATATACAACCCAATTAATTAGCTAACAATGACTTCAATTCGGAAGAGATAGCAGACAGAGTAGGCTAGTATATGTATAAGCTACAGATACAGAATTATCAATATTTCTAATTAAAAATCAAGTACAAATTACATTGATGAATTGATTGAAATTCTACTTCTAAAACGGTGCGCAATGGAGTAATCTACCCACCTAGCACTAATCTCATTGGCCATATCGATGGCGTGATTGAGAATCTTCTCATCTTTCACCGATATAGGCTTAACGGTGCCAGCTGTTTTTTTCTTCGACAATGTAGGCAGCAGTCCATGACTGTGTTTGTTGCCATTTGTGTCGCCACTCTTGTTCCCAAACTTGGCCGTCATTTCGACAAATTCGTTTTTCGAGTTAACATGCTCAAAATCTGGTGATTTGGGCTGATTGCCTGAAGGGCCACTAATTGAACCGAACATTGAGTTAATTTCGTCCAATAGTGATGGACCAAAGTCGAGTTTGTCACCAGCGATTTCATCGTCTGATATCTCGTGATATTCATGCAGATCATCTGTTGCTTGACGTAAAGATGCTCGCCAACTAGCATCTCCGGCTGAGCTTCGCGAATTGATACTCTTGCCATCTTGTCCGCCATAGTTATTATTCTGGAGCCCAAATGCCAGTTGATCCTCGTCTAGTTTGTCCAGCACAAACGGATTGGTCGATGATGTAATGGTGGCAAAATCAAAGGAGCTCTGCCCATTGTTGGATATCAGCTTGGGGGTATTTTCAGTGGAGGGTATAAATGTTGGGTTCATGGAAGTGGCATGTGAGCCCTCGGGAAAGTAGCCACTGGCAGTCTGCAACGAGTCGGGGCTCGTTGGGGTGGGTGGCAGTAACAGGGGCGTCTGCTCAATATCCTCTGATGGCTTGTACGGTGTGACAATTTGCTTGGGCACATGATTGTACTGTAAAAATTAAATATATAAATAATTTTCACCAATAGTATAAAAGTTAAAAGAAGCAGCGCCCCTTACATTTTGTGAACTCCCTAAAAACGCAATGTCACCAAAAGTGGCGCCATCGATGCCTACATGACCAGTGTGCTTGAAATCATTTTGCGGCTTTGAAATCATCTCAGTGCGCAGCTTGCGCTTGCTTATGCGATGGTCGCCCACGCGACTAAAGGAATCTCGATTTGAGCTGGGTAAACCCTCCAGAAATGCGACAGTATTCGAAGGATTGAAATATCCTGTCTTGCCCGTGCTAAGCACGCCCTTCCAATATGGTGTCCCAGTGTTGCGATCCAATACACTGATAATGTCACCCTGTCTGTATATCAGGTGGTCCTTTTTCGGCTCTGTCCAATTGACAACAGCCTTCAATTGTTCTGGCTTCATGTCAGGAAGTTGCTCGTAAATTTCACTGAATTTTGGCCTTTTTGCAGCATCATCTTGCCAGCATTTCATCATCAGTGTATAATATTCACTGGGGCAGCAATCAGGCTGCTCCAATCGCTGATAGTTGGGCGCATCAATGGCTTCCAATATTTGGAGGCCTGTAAGCGCTGCCCAGGGCTGAAAGCCATAGGAAAACATCTCCCAGAGACAAACTCCATAGGCCCAGACATCGGAGGCATTGGTAAAACGCAAATAGTTGATGCACTCGGGCGCACACCAGGCAATGGGCAGCTTTAGATTAACATTAAAGTTGGTCTTGTAATAATCCTTGCCCACACCCAAGGCACGCGACAGTCCAAAATCTGATATTTTCACCTTATCCTTGCTGAAGACCAGTATATTGCGCGCTGCCAAATCTCTGTGTATGAGACGCTTCTGCTCCAGGTAGCGCATACCATTGCATATTTGCAGCGCAAACTCGCATAGTGTCGGTATGGTTAGAAAGCTGACGCGCAACCCAGAGTCCTTAAGGCACTCGAGTAAGGAACGTAAATGCGCCAATTCCGTAACCAGCATTAACGAGTCTGTGGCCAGAACGACGCCATACAGGCGCACTATATTTTCATGCTCAATGGAATGCATGATGGCTGCTTCCTTTAAGAATTCCATGGGATTTGATTGCATGCGCTCTCGGCACAAACACTTGATTGCCACTTGAATCTGTATAATGAAATATTGCTCAATAATATAAATTACTTAATCTAAATGATTTTCTTTAAGGGGAACACTTACACGTTCGCTGCCGTTGGTCCAGACGCCCTGTTGCACGATTCCAAACTCGCCGGTTCCCAGCTGTTTATTGACGCTGATAGAATCGGCTGGTATGATGTGCTTGTTGTTGGGCACCTTACTGGGCGAGCTGGCGCCGTTTTTGTTTGCTGATACTGACGCATTACTGCTGCTGTCCACTGCGGCTTGTGCGCCTGCGCTTGCGCCATCCTCGCGCTTAACAATTGTGGTGGGCGCCTGCAGCAGTCGTTTGATCTTACTGAGGTAACTGTGAGGAAAATGCTTCTCATAGAATTTACGCAGTCTTCGTATTTCCGGTCGAGACAGACCAATAAATCGTAAATCCTCATCTGCTGCATATTTAAATTGCGCCGCGTTCGTTATTTTCAATTCATTTCTGTGTGTGAGGGGGTGAAACGCATTCGTTATTAATTTCAGTTGCTTCCATTTACTCAAGAGCCTAAATGGGTCAGTCACTTACTTGATGGCATTGTAGTACTGTTGCAGTTCGGACTCGGTGAGGAATTCATATAAATCGATTTGAGGGTACTCTGAAAGATATAAAAATAAACACATAAAACTTAAGTATGCATGGGGCCTAGCAACAGCTGCTCCAAACAACACACGACCCAACACACACGCCACACACACAGCATCAATATGTATGCATATTGCCATATTCCACATATTCCACCCGCCAACGCACTTCCGACGTGATTTCATTTCTCCAGCAAGCAGACGCAGATACAACGGACACAGGCCCTCATGCCAGCCTCAAAATACATTTAATACGTAAAAGTTCCGTTTCCCCCCACCACAAGCACAACACAACACAACAGAACACACTCATGCACATTGACACAGAATACTGATTACGGGCCTGTCCCTATTGTTGTTGTTGTTGTTGTTCTTGTCGTTGCTGCACCCGCAGTGTTTGTCGTCAGCACCTTTGGCGCTGCAACAACAAGTCGTTGTCGTATTTGTTTTTGTAAAGGAAACAGCAACAAACTGCTGCTGATAATGGATGTTAATCCCCTGGTTTGCAATTTGAATCACCACTGTGGTAGTATATACATATGTACATATGTTCGTTCATATGTACACATATGTACATTTTAAATGCTTTGCACAAGGAATGTTTTATCACCCTATGTCGCGCCTTATCGCTTTAACTGATCAATAATGAATGACGCATTGGAATCAACAAGCGGCTCAAAGTACGGAAATCAATTAAGAATGAATGAGCCATGCTATCCCACAGGATGCTGCTGTCCTTGAATTCGCAAAATAAAATCGATCGGGCAATACACACAACACACACACACACACATACACATGCAAACTACGTAGCAGACAAAGTTTTTGCTACACCGGAAACACTTGTAATTGTTTGATTTTAGCGGGCTTTCCCTCCCACGTTGATGCATTGTGATATTATTTGTCAGTTGCACACACTTTACACAATTAATTTAAATTTTTTAATTTAAACTCACCCATTTTTGCGTGCTTTGCATTGTTTGGGAGTACTGCACACTTGAGTGGCCAGACCGTTTAAAAAATGCACTATTTGTTATCGATTAAAATATGCGTAGCTAGTTCTTTTGAGCAACAATTCTGATTGGGGCACTGGAACACTAACACATGCGCACATTATTCATCACTCTGTAGTAAGAGGTTAGTCCGTGCTGGCCAGAGGCTAAGCAATTGGATTTAGATTTAAACTCAAACATAAAGATAGCTGTGAAAATTTGATTTCCACTTTATACATTTAATGTTTGGTTGCAATGCTATTTAATAGTTTTTACCACAACAAATATTGTTTTGTACTGCCTAGCCCATGCTAAGTCCTAAGTACCTAACTAAGCCTTAAGCATAAGTTGATCAACTTACCAAGCACCTGTTTGGTCCTTGTTATTGCCAAGGAAGTCTCCGTTTTAAATGTTATAGATGATGTATTGGGAAAGACATTGCATTTGGTCAGTATTTGAACTACAGGGTGCGGCGCTACAGTAACTCGTATCATTGAGCTTTTGTCCACCTAGAACCACGTTTTGAATTTACGCGCGTTATACGTAAAAATAAAATACACCGTTAATTCATTCAATTTATTTATTTTACGATTTTCAATGTAAAAACAAACTTTAGATTAATATACAGTAATAATATGTTCTTCGTGCTTAAAAACAGCTACAATATTTAAAACAAGCGGAAGTTACTTGGAAAAGATGTGATCGTTAGGCGATTGATAGCAACCTTGGCATGGTCATGCCCCAAGGCGCCAATGATCTCAGCCAGCTCTTCGTAGTGATCACGTGTGCGTTTATCTTCGATCAATTTCATAACATATTTATACATGCGTCCTAGATGATTATGAGCATATGCATGCCACACAGAGAATTGAATGGCCTTCGCATCGTTGGCATCGACAAATTTTATAATTTCTGAATAAATATCGTTGAGTTCGGACAACTGGTCTTTAATATTGTCATCCAATACCGCTAGCTTTGCGTGAGCAATACCCTTTTTGCTTAGGGCCTCGATAAGGTTTGCCTTTTGTTTATCCATGTTACTAAAATAAATATGAAAGGTATAACTTAAAGAAGGAATAGCAGAGTCAAAATGATCCTTACGTTTTAATTTTAGCCGCATCGGCCCGTGTATCTGTCTTCAGGCCATAGTAGGAGAGCAGACCATCAGCATCGGTATCCTTGATAACGAGATCTGCCAGCTTAATAATACGCTCCAGAGTGCAACGCAGCTTTTGCTTGTCATCCTTTTGCTTTTCAGTATTTTCGTTGCCTTCAACTTTGGCTTGGGCTTTAGCGAAGGCAAATGGATGCTGAATTTTAAGTTCGGTTGATTCGATGTTTTGTATCAACAACAAATGTGCCTGCAAGTGCTTCGGATGTGCAGCAATAACCTCGTTATAGATTTTCTCTGCTTTCTCCAGCTCTACACGAATGCAATAAATGAATTATAAGTTCAGTTTTATTTTTAATGGACCACTTACCGCATTTCACGATATGTGTGCACTGAAAATCGCGTAAACTCTCTGCATAATCGTCGGCTGATGTTTTTCCCTTCTTCGGCGACGATTGCAGAACTCCGCTGTTTGGGGGTGCATCGCTTTGAGCAGTTATACCATCACCAGCCGCTGACGCTGCCAAAGCAGTTGTTGACAGCGTCGTTGCTGGGGCCTTGGGCTTCGTTCCGTTTCCATTTGCCGATGGAGTTGCGGTCGAGCTGTTGGCATTCGTACCGTTAGCTGCGCCATTAGTTGCCGCTTTCTTTTCGGTCGGGTTGAGGATGTAGTAGAACGGGTGAAGGGCGACGCGACGGCCGGCGTCATCCTTTGGAAACACTACATTGCCATTTAACCATGCGCATTGTGCGGGTAAGTTGGCCTTTGTAAGGCGCTCCTGGGATATGGGACCCAGATACAACACTTTAGGCGAACCCTTTATAGGGGCGGACGCAAATTTACGTCCATTTACTATACACTGGTTATAGCTATCGTAAAAATCAATGTTAAGCGCGTTCGGCAACTTGAAAGCAGCGACCATATTAGCGTCGGAAATTTTCTCAAGAATATCTCGCTTCTCATGACGGACCTGCAGACGAACCGTGTAGTCGCCCTTTTCAAGCTTCGTATAGAAGGTGTGTGAATGTGCGTCACCTGTTGCCACCAGCGCCTTGTTTACATCGAACAGCATCCACATCTGCGACTCAAATTCTGCTTCGTACAGCAAATCATTGAACAAAGGCGCATACAATGCCACTTCGCACGGCTTAGCTACAGTTAAGTTGTACACCAGCAGGTTCTGATAAACCTGTCTTCCGTCTGGAATGACATCACGCGTGGCGCTCAACGGGGAGATTTTTGCCTCAACAGGCTTGAGCACAACAGCGGCGTTTTTCAATTGCAGCAATGGTTGGATCACTTCTTCTACCACCAGCGAATTTATTTCCATTTTGTGAATGCCACGCCCCGCGTGCATAACATCTGTTATATAAATAAATTACCTTATAGCTTTTCAGTAAACTCTCAGATAAAAACAACTCACAAGCATTTGGATTTTGAGCTTCAACACCGCGAAATTCGAGGCTATACTTTAAATGGCTTTGTCCATGGCTGGACCAATACTTGGCAATACACAGTTCCAATATCTTGCCACCCTAAAAAAGTAGCACATTAATAGATATGTATGTAAGTTTATAAAGCTCACACACCTTAACACGAAACGCGGTCGTGGATTCGAACTCTGAATTCACACCAATGATCTTCATGGTCTCCAGTTTGCGGCAAGATTGTTTGGCCAGCAATTGGTTTGTATGCAGAAAGAATTTGCCCACATCCTTGCCATGATTGGGATCAGTAATGCGCATGCGCAGCACTGCCCATGTGGCGTTATTTGGAACGAGTATAAAGTCCCTTTGTATGGTGTTGGGCTGAAACTCTACAGCACGGTCACCTCTATTCGAAGCGGGTTCAAACACAGGCGTATTGTTATCGCTCTCCAAAACATGTGGCTGCACCACAGTGACAGGTATCTCAAAGAGTGGTCCCTTTTGTACGCATTCCGTATCGTACGCGCGTATGCTGTGAGGAAATGTATGCGTTTAAAAAATGTAGAATATTTAAGAGGCATCACTTACATAGCGCTGTGCACACCAGGAGGCAACGCAGTCGGATCGACTCTGACCACAATGGATCGAGTTCCATAACTTAGGTCCAGAAATGAGCCACACTGCACCCAAGGTTGTGACGGTATGAGGTTTAGGCGAACATTAAAGTTAAATTTGTCTTTGGGATCGACCTCCTTGTCATTAAAGAACACCGGCTCAATGTTAACATTGAAATCGACAAACTTCTTCTGAACACCCTGGCGAAGATGTATGCCCTTCGCTTGATTTGCGCCCACACGCACCGAAAAACTGAAGTAGGACAGGTTTGTGAATTAGAAAGCAGAAACTATTTTGCTGAAGCTTAATTAATGGGTTAAGTTTTTAACAAATAACTTTTAAAATTACCGTAGTAAATTCTCCGCTGCTTGCTGATGCTCGACCAAATGCTCAAAAGCCTTCTCCACATTTAATAGGCCATTGCCCTGTGCGAAAGGATCCACGTAGCCCAATTTAGTGGCAGTGACGCTTATAGCACGCTTTATACTATAGGGGGAGTATGTTATGTTCTTTTGCTTTAGTCCTGAGATCAGCAGCGCCACAGCGCCGGCAACATGAGGAGCGGCCATGCTTGTGCCGTTCATTAACTGAGACTTGCTCATGGTGAACTGCGGCACAGAAGTAATGGCACCTCCTGGCGCACAAACAGTCACACCCTGACCGCCATCGATGCAGGGATCACGTGACGTCCAGGTGTACACATTGCCAGGCAACTTCTCTCTCATCGCATACTCTGCCTCCATCATTTGCGGTGAGACATAAGCGCCAACACCGATTAAGCTTGGCTGACTGATGTCTGGTGGCGTACCTACGGTGCAGAGGGCTGGTCCGTGGTTCCCTGCAGAGGCAACCCAAACTACTCCATACTTGTTGACAATTTCGTTCATCAGTTCCCCGAGGCGTCTGCAAAAACAAACAAAAGTGTAGTATTAAGTGCATTAAATAAGGTCTCGTTATCTTATAACTTTTATGGGATTTTTTATCAACTAGATCAAATGACAATGGGTCTGGTAAACACACAAGATTATTCATTCGAATTTCAGCGACGTCAGCTCATTTTTTTGTATGTCTCCCATTGCAAACATTTTGCGAGAGTGTTATTATCTAAACACTTGAGAGACTCGACTGATGGTTCAAATATGTTTAATGCGTGTAAAAGGAGGTTTGTTTGTGGTGGCAGCTCAAATTGTACCTTCTACGTCTGGGCTTTGCGATTTGGTATGGTTGCTAGGCGAGTTTTCGTCAAGCTCCATTTATAAAATTTAAAACTTCCTTACCCTGTGTTGGACCAATTAGCATGCTCGCCGTAGCTCATGTTTATTACATCGATGCGTCGCCCCTCCCGGCACAATTCCATAACTTTCATCATGCCACGCACCAGAGCAGTGCCTGTCTCCATGGACCCCAGACGACCATCGCCGATTGTTATGGCCACAATTTTGGCATTTGGGGCCACACCATCGATGTCGCGCGAACTATGATTTCCACTCGCGATCGATGCGACATGCGTGCCGTGGGGAGCTGTAAAATATGCCCGCATTATATTATAGGTTCTTTAGTTGAGAATTGTTCTTTACTTACAGCACATGCCCACTATTTCGAGCACATTACCATCATCGTGCACATTAACCGAAATAGACAGATAATCATCCACATTCTTGATTTCATACGTTTTCGAATATTCGCCGATGCGCAGCGCTTGACTCAGATCCCCTTTCTCTGTCGTATCAATAAGTGTCAGCCAGCCCTTTTCAGTGGGGAAGAGTACACAGTCGTAAGAAGTCTTAATGTCGTTGTAAAGCTTTTCGTAATTATTGAGCATTTCCAGTTCAAAATCAAGATTCTCCTTGATAATCTTCTTATCCCAAGGAAGCTTTGATGCCTCACCTGCAAAAACAGGCTTCATTATACAGAACTACAATCTTTGAAAGACTGCTACTACACTTACCTGGATTTTGGGTTTCAAACTCCACGATTTTGCGGCTGGCATCAGCGATAGCCGTTTTATGCGGCTTGTTCCAATTCTTTAATTTTTCCTGGACAATTATATTATCGCGCACTTTGCTCGGCACCAGATCACTGAAACTCTTTAGGCCAACACGGAATGCGCCCTCCTTGTCCGTGTTGAGAGCCACAAGATCAGCCGGCAGCTTCAAAGTACGACCAGATAAACCTACAGCAAATTTGGCAACAGATTACAATCCCTCAGCCTTAACATTTAGAGTATATAATTACCTTTCAGATTTCCATCGTCATCAGGCGTAATTTTTTTGCTCACATCGACATCGCCGCAACCCGAACAATCAAACCTTTCAATCACTTTTACCGATTTTCCATCACAAAGCGTCTATTCAGGAGCGACACAAACGCATATGCACACATCAAAACAGATGAATGTTAACGTAAACCAAAAAATGGACGCCGCCAATAAGTGCCAACTCACCTCAAGCCCCGATGCGCGCGGATCAACGCCAGAGTCGAAGACAGCTATTGTAACGTCGCGTCCATCAAACTCAGGATACTTTTGCAAGAAGTTAAGTACACCAGTCTCCGCTTTAGGCACTAGAGCACCTGCAGGGAAGGCAGACTCCACAATCCCGCTACCAAAATCACTTGCCATTTTATCCACACAATTTGTTTTGCTCTCTGTTAGCTTGTTTTCTTTTTTCGTAACGCTTTGTTGTTGTTGTTCTAATCGCAGTCCAACTACTATCTCCCGATTACCACTGCCGTTGTACGAGGAGAGTGCTCTGCGCGCTGAACAATTTGTCAAACGATTAGTGAAATTAAATATTGCATCAATGATTTAGCGGAACGCAATTGTCAAAAATTTGTCACTTGTACGATATGTAAAAAAAAGAGTGGGCGTTGCCAGATGAACGCACTTTTTTAGTACGGGGTGCATAACAAAAATTTAGCAGCCACACAGGATTTTACAAAGTGACAGTTTTTTAAAAACATCTCAGGGGCCATTTGTACAATATATTTTTTTGAAATATTAGAATTATTTGCTTTGAATGTAATTTATAAAAATATTGACAATCCTGTTTCATTTACTGTGATTGTCAAATGCGTCTCAGCTGTTCGCTTTCTGTCATTGCCTGCGTTGCCGTTGCGTGTTTGTTGTAAAATAACAAGTTTCAGTAACTTTTCAGGCTTTATATCCCAGCAAAATGTGGTTCGAAATCTTACCAAGCGCCGTAATTATTACGGTTGCACTATCCGTGCCAATATATGCGATGTACGGTCTGCAGAAACTCACACTGGGCAACGTAAGTGGTGCAATTTTCTGGTTTAAAATTCCAAAATTCTTATATAATCCAATTTTATGGGACACTAAATTAAATTTTTTAATCATTTTTGAATGCCCACACCAACAATTGTAACAAAAATGTGCCCTTTTTTGTACAATGCACCATGCGATTAATCACTGTTTTTCAACGTTTTCCTTCTGATTTTCCCCACAGGCTTTCCGCCGCAACATGGACGAGCGATTCGACCGTGTGATGTACCAGCGCGATTTCCGACTAACCAATAATCCATACGTGATGAATGTAAGTTAAATAATTGTTTGTCTTTTTGCTTTTTCGCATTCAAATCGATCGATTTTGTTGTGTCTAAAATGTTGTTTTGGGTTATATTGGTTTTTGTGCAAAAATTCACCCCAAACTAAAATTGTTTATTATACAGTCAGCTAAAAATGTTTTCATCCACTTGTGCATATTTTTTAAATTCTAATTTGAGTTCCATTTCTAATCTAATGTTACAACTAATATAGATTTACGTGTTGTTTTTATTATAATTTCATTTCACTTTAAAAAAAAAAAAATAACACCAGCCACTTCACCCACTAATATTTAATGGGAAACAAAGTTATTTTTAAGCAATATTAGCTTCTCCATCTTAATGTTGCATTTTCGCCTGTTCATATCTATTGCTTAAAACTCTCTTACTGAGCATAAATCTTATTCTTTTCCAGGGTCTCAATTCTATTCCTGATGAGAAAAAGAATTAATTTTGTGTAGTAGACATTGGATTAATTTTAAGAGCATAAAGTGAATAAACGTACAGTTCGGAAATTAAATTCCTATTCGGTTGTAGGTTTATTATTTGCAGGTTATTTAAAATTTTTCCGATTGTTCCTAGTAATGCGTGACTGGCTTACTGACCGCCTTTTCAACCAATAAATCATAGGAACCATTCTTTGCAGGGGCTTGATGCCGTACCCGACGAAGAAGAGAAAAAAGAGATTGAGGTACCAGAAAACGAGGAGGTTGAAGATCCGAAGAAAGCCAAGAAAAAGAAAAAGGAGAAACCTCAAGAGAAAACTACTCAAGATCAGGATTAATTTAAACCACGTTTCTTTTATTTGTAAACAACTCGCACTGTTGCAGCAATAAATTGCAAGCAATCTAGCTCCAAAAACATTTGCCGCGCAACCAACCGCCAACAACCCTGTTTTTGCTTTCAAAACCACCCCTAAGGGACACAAAAGTTCTTCTCCCCCATGTTAGGCTGTCAAGTTGGGTTATTGTGAAAAAGGCGTCGACAGAGGCAAGCGCAGAGGTCGCTGCGTCGCATCGAATTTATTATATTTACCTTAAATTTTCATTGATTTGCGCTTTAATTTAATTTCAATTTGCATCACAAACCGCGCGTTGTCATCGCTGATTCTACATAATGAGTGAAGTTTAGTGAAAAATCGTCCAAAAGCCCCCAACATTGAGGCGAAAATTTCGGAAAACTTCATACACACGCGCACACATCTCGCGCACATATACAGGCACCGTAATGTCGACAGGACTTGGGGTTGTTTATGTGGATACCAAAAGCAATCGAAACTGGAGGATAGTTGGGGCTGCTAGGCGAGATGTAGTTGTTGTTTTTCTTATTTTAGTGCTTTGCGAGTTTTTGTTTACAAGCGGGACATTCGCAACTTCATTAAATGCCATTGAGGAGCCGGCGCGGCGGCATCACCAAAGACATCATGTTGATCATGAGCGGGAGAGGGAACGGGAGCCCCACGAGGAGAAGGGCTACTGTGCACCTTACAACGGAAAAGTGTGTACCGGATACATAAGCGGACAGGTGTGGTATAGCTTGGAAGATTCTCATGGGGGCTGGAAGAATGAGCAGGTAACGACGGCTTTGTGGGAGGAACTCATATCCGATCTGACGGGACTATGTCGAGAGGCAGCAGAGGTAAGTGAACAACCCAGCAGCGTTTAAGGCTTAGACCATCAATATCAAACATCTCTCGATTACAGAAAATGCTCTGCGCCTACGCCTTTCCCCGCTGCCACATGGAAAATGGGCGAGCTATCAAAGCGCCTCTTTGCTACGAGGACTGCACTGCGACGCATTTGCAATTCTGCTACAACGATTGGGTGCTGATCGAGGAGAAAAAAGAACGTAACATGTACATAAAAAGTCGCGGCCACTTCCGTTTACCCAACTGCTCAGCCCTGCCTTACTATAATGCGACGCTGAAACGACCCAATTGCTCGTACATTGGCCTTACAGAGCTTAAGGAGGAGGAAATAAGTTGTAGGTTTAGTTGTTGCGCCCAGTCGGCTACACTTCCTCATTACATTCTCTGCATTTCCAACAGACGACTGTCGGAATGGCAATGGGCGTTTCTATCTGGGCAATGTGAATGTCACTAAATCGGGCATACCTTGCCAACGCTGGGATACCCAAAATCCCCACAAGCACATACAACCGCCCTTGGTATTTCCACAGCTGCTAGATGGTGAGAACTATTGCCGGAACGCAGGCGGCGAGGAACCGTATCCCTGGTGCTATACTGTAGACGAATCGGTCCGTTGGCAGCACTGCGACATTCCGCTTTGCCGTGAGTATAAATCCTAACTGTCCCATGAATTTAAATGTTAACTAAGCTTGCAATTAAATTAACAGCCGATTATGTAGATCCGCATGCGAAGGACCTTAACACGCCGATCAAAATGGAAACATTCTTTACACCCTCCATGATATTCGTGCTAGCCGGGATTGGATTCGTGGGCATCGTGATTCTACATTTGATGATTTTACTGGTCTATAAATTATCGAAGCGCAAGAACTATTCACAGCCCCCGACACAATCGCAAGCCGAATGCAATGTCTCTCAACGCGGGGAATGCAATTTGACCGCCAGCCGTGAGACCCTGGGCTCAAATGCCTTCGTCAATGCAAAATGTGGTACCATACGCAGCACGGCGACCATTCATAGTCATTGCGTGGTTGTTACGGCTACAACGGATCCGAAGACGAAGCTGAATGCACGGCTAGAAAAACTCGAGTATCCACGTGGAGAGATTGTTTACGTGCAATCTTTGGGTCAAGGAGCGTTCGGACGAGTTTTCAAGGCGAAGGCTCCAGGCTTAGTTTCGGGCAATCCCGATCTGCACGTGGCTGTAAAAATGCTGAAGGACGATGCCAGCGACCAAATGCAAATGGACTTCGAACGCGAGGCTTGTCTGCTGGCCGAATTCGATCATCCGAATATTGTCAAGTTGTTGGGCGTTTGTGCACTTGGTAGGCCAATGTGTCTGCTCTTCGAGTTCATGTCGCCGGGGGACTTGAGCGAGTTTCTACGCTCCTGCTCGCCCTATGCCACACATCGGGTGCAGCCAGTCGACCGGCTAGAACTGACGGAGCTCAATCTGTTGCAGATGGCTGCACACATTGCAGCTGGCATGCTTTATCTGTCTGAGCGTAAGTTCGTGCATCGCGATCTGGCTACTCGGAATTGTCTGATTAACGAGCAAATGAATGTGAAGATAGCCGACTTCGGACTCTCGCACAAAATCTATCTGCAAGACTATTACAAGGGCGATGAGAACGATGTTATTCCAATAAGATGGATGCCGCTCGAGAGCATTTTGTACAACAAATTCTCACTGGAATCCGATGTTTGGGCCTATGGAATTTGTCTGTGGGAAATTTTCTCATTTGCGCTGCAGCCATACTTTGGTATGACCCACGAGGAGGTCATTAAGTTTATCAAGGAGGGCAATGTGCTCAGTTGCCCCGATAATACACCACTTTCGGTATATGCACTAATGCGTCGCTGCTGGAATCGCAAGCCAAGCGAACGTCCGGGCTTTGCGGAGATTAATCATTGTGTGCAGCACAGCATTGCCGAGCTTGAGTGCAAGGCAATGCTCTAGAATTCCGTCGATGGACACGAACATGTCCACAGATAAGCATTTACAAATCAAATCGAAATAACTCCGTCGTGTTTCAGCCATTTTAAATGAATCATAATGCTCGCTCAATGTCTTCCTGAGCATTTACTCGTACATACCGATATACATATGTATATTTCCCATATATTTATTACATGATATTACTTGATATACTTTCCACAACGAACGAACTTGCCATCAAGTCATCCATTTTAACTGATGTACTCATCTGTAGTCCGTAGACAACTGAAGGCGATATTTATACATACTATGTAAACTATTATTCGATAATTATGTAGATTGCATTCCCATGAGTTTTTACTAGCATTAAGTGATCGATCCGGCGAAGCGGTGGGCCGGTTTGATATTCAAACGACACCCTCTCTTAGAATGGAACGAAGCACAACACCGAAGACCATCAAAACAATAAGGAATATTAAATATTTAGAGAACTTTCTACAGCATAATTTTCTTAAGACACTGAAACTTGTAACGAAAATGTTTACACACTTGTATAATAAATTGTACTTAATCCAATTAAGAAACTTATGTATAGTACTCAATTAATAAGTTAATAGTAGTAATCGTAATATGGACTTCTGTATGGATAGGGGAAGGGAATAGGCAAGATCGCAGCTCCAAAGCCGCCACCGTAACCGAATCCGGGTCTTCCAAAACCTCTGCCAAAACCTCCGCCAAATCCAGGTCTGCCAAAACCGCCGCCAAATCCAGGTCTACCAAAACCACCACCGCGTCCTCCGAAGCCACCGCGTCCTCCTCCAAAACCACCGCGTCCTCCTCCAAAACCACCGCGTCCTCCTCCAAAACCACCACGCCCTCCTCCAAAACCACCGCCACGTCCTCCCCCGCCTCTAGCACTCGTAAATTCCAATACACACACAAGCAAAGCCAGAAATATCATAAGCCTATATCGGGACATTTTAAACACATCTGTTCTACCACGCCTCATTTATAAATTGCGACTGAGCTTAGAAATAATTCTAGGGGTGTGATGAGCTCCTATTTACTGTCAATTAATTAGTAGCCGTATAATAATTGAAGTGACGTTGCCATTGCGAGTTCGCGTCGAAAAATTCCCCATTTCATGTATAAAACAGGCAAATATCGTGCACAGATAAATTTCGAGCACATAATAATACTTTTTCACGTATGTATGTATATATTTTTATTTGCCATTTTGTTTCTTTACCAAACAAAAACAAAGCTCTTCTTTTTGCAATATCACAGCAGCCTGAAAATTAGACATTAAATTCATATTTAGCTTAACCTACAGTTATACATAAATAGATTTAGCGGCAGTATTGGTCCTTAAAGCAATTCTGTGCAGTTTTTGTTTTCGCTTAGGACCAGCCGTTCCGGGTCTAGACTGAGACGCTTTAGCACGTCGTAGACTTTGGAGCGTACCTCTGCCGTAAAATCACGTTCACGAGCACGGCCGAATACCCAGATTTGGTCGGAATACCCAAAGGACCCAATGCTGCCACAGGACCACAAAATGGCAAAATTATCGTAGTCTGTGTAGAGAACTTGGTACTTTCCAGTGACGGGCAGAAGACGTGAAATCACATCGGGAAATCGTGTGTTGAACTGCATCGAGAAGAAATGGAATCTAGTAAAAATATTGCAATATTCAATGGAGTGTATCTAGTACCTTAAAATCCATAATAGACGATTTACTGTTTTCAGGTGTGGCATAGCCCAAGTTAACGTTTGGATTGCCAGTGCTATAAAAAAGACGGCTTTATCAAAAGTCTTTGAAGTCTGAATTATTGATATAAATACTTACATGCGATTTATGCTCTTTATGGCCACCTCTAGCTTAAAGTTATTAAACTTGGAGAGATCGGCTTTATTATAGGGCTGAAAAGCTAATGACGTGCAACGAAAGGCAATTTCAGGCAGGTAGAGTGAGCGCTCTACTTCGAACCATTGGCCCAGAATCTGCAACGGAAAATTGTCATTATGATCAATAAAGATATTGAAGCGGCTTCTGTATAAGACCCTCGATTCCATTTCGCTTCTCGCTGCTGCCACCGTGGGTGTGAGTAAGCATAAAACTGGGTTATTGGTGTCCCCCGACCCGCTGCCTCCCGCCACACTCCCACCACACAGCTAAACAAGGTGTAAAACATAAACATTTTAAGCATTTTTGAAAACTGGTTTCGAAGCTCGAACGCATCAACAGAGCAGTGCAGAGTAGAGTAGAGTGGAGCAAAGCACAAATCTTTCATCGAGCGCCATCGCAGTTCAAAGTCATAAAACTTCAATAGATAATTACATACACTCAGTATATACATACAAGTATATATACGTGTGTACGTGCATGTCTGCCGGCGAGGTCTTTGCACTCTCCCCCCGGGAGCAAATCTAATAAAAACAATAGGCGAACGATGTCAAATTGTTTAACGCCTGTCAACAACTCAATTGGACGCGGACGCTCAATTAGTGGGGCACGCACCAGAAATCTGCCACTTTAGCTTTTGCTGAAGCTACTGCGGCTTCCATGAGAGATTTTCATTTATGCAAATGGATTTAAACAAGCGGCCACCAATTACGTTGGTTCGGATATCCCAAGGCGTTTCAAATTTTCAATTTAAATCTGCGTCCACTTAAATTATTTTAAAATGCATGTTACTGCTGCTAAATTGATTTTGACAATTCTTTTAGCTACTGGTCAATTATCGGTTGAGATTTTCGAGCTGCCCTGCATTTGTCTGTCCACGTTGTTTGTTGTCCTTGGCATGCCAATGGCGTTGAAAATTGTGTCTAATTTGTGATCTTTATAAAAGAAGTGGCTTGTTAGTCATTGCTATAGTAGGTACGAAGTGTTTTTTTATGTCTCCTTTCTTGTTGTAAACAGGTTTGCAGTTTTGTTGTACTTTGCCGACTGACTGACTGACTAACTGACTAACTGACTGATTGACTGGCTTGATTCAAATTATTTCAAGTTCATCTTTAGGCACGATCTATAAAAGGCTTTTAACCGACGCCTTGTGCTAAATATTCCTAAGATGTGACAGTCACACTTTACATTGCTATTGTCGCCTCTGCATTGTTGTTTAATAAAGCTCTCAGCTTTGTTGTCGCTAATGGCGCTGTGTCATTTTATAATATTTAATAGCTTTAGGCCACTTGTAGCTTCAACTCTTGAGCGAAAAGTTGATGCCATTAAGATGGTTCGTTGCAGCTTCACAGGTATTCGGATATTTTGCACATATACTTGTAGTAGGTTCTTAACATATTGTATGTAATATGCAACAACCACAGTTTTTTGTATGTACATATTCTCATATACATATGTAAATAATTTAAATGTGCTGTACAATTTTCTTTAAGTCAAGTCGTTAAGTAATAATTTGCGCCTTTCAGGGTTAGCAAATTGCTAACAAATTGAAATTAGTTGAAGTCAACAAGTCACTTGTAGCGTTGGAGATATGGAGAGATGGATGGAGGCAATTACTTATTTCTATTTACTTACACGACTCATGTTAAACTTTGGCATCGATGGATATTTCGGGCAACGTCCAAGTCCATAGGCATGTGTCTGGTCCATAAACGTGAACAAAAAAATTGTCGACAGCAGTAAAGTGCTTGAAAAAATGCGAAATGTAGAGCCGCTCATTTTGGGAATGCCCGGTCAAGTCACTTGATTGGTATTGTATTCTACTATAGACACTGTAGAAGAAAAATAATATTTTGAAATAACCTTTTAAATATACTTTAGTAGTGCACAAACCAACTTCTGTTTGGGTGGCTCAGTTGGTCAATGAACGAAGCGGCAGTTGTTTTGTTTTTGTGTTGAGTTCCCCAAATTGTAAGCGTTTCGGCTTATTGCTGTTAACATGGGCTTTTGTTCGCCCATTAATATTCCATAAAGGAATTGTGCGCTAATAAAAACGTGCCACTAACTGGCAAGTGCAACAAGAGTGAAAACTACAGCGGACACTCCTCGCTCTTCAAAATTCAAAACTAGGTTGACTCGTGCGCTAACGATGGCGGCGTTACGTAAAAGAAAAACCAAACCAACCGGGCCATGCGAAATGCAAGTCTAACTGGTCGTCGCCATCGGCAAAGTTTGCGAATTTCTGCAGTAGGAAAAATATTGCACATTCATTCATAAGCAAGTATATACCGACTATACATACTATATGTATGTATTCACATACTATATACATATCTAAGTCGAATGACGAAAGGAAGTTGCTTTGCAAATGGGAATTTGAAAATCTCTGCAATTCAAATGTGTCATACATGTAGTGTAGTACAGGTGTATTGCTTGATATTTTCTAAGGAAAGCTTTAATAAACCTGGGAATCCAACAGACATTGAAGTTTGATATGCAAGTTGTCCAAGTTCAATGCAACTCGAACTCCAATTGGCGTAAGTGGCTAATTGAAAAAACAAAGTTCGAGGAAGTGGATTGAACTGCTGTTGTAAAACGGCTTATGTATGAAAATTGACAGCGAGCTACAGCCACCCAAACGGAAAGTGTTAATTTTGCGGTAACACCAGCACATAGAAACGTACGGATAGTTGCTGCCACTGTTTACTTAAAAATTTTGCCAATACAATTGCAAAACGTCTTTGGTTTTGTCGTTCGTATGCTCGCCTGTTCGTTTAACTACACACACAAGCATATACATATGCGTAAACACGGTAGATATTTTCACTTTGATTTTGCAAAATCTGGTGCTCGAAGTCTAGGCGCGCTAATTTTGTTTACATGCTTGATCGCCACAAGCGTTCTTCACATTTGCAGACGCACTACTATCTCTCGCGATCGAATGCATAAACAACCGCCATAAGCAACCGGGCGATGAGACCGTTGAAAAAGTACTGGTGTAGAGCTTCAAATGCGCAGTCCACTTTGGCTCATATGGCAACTTCATGTTTCCACTGTTAATGTTACCAGTGCTGCCAGCTAAGCGATATGGCTTACATTTTGTTAAGTTCAAATGAGATAATAAGAAGTTATTTTCAGCTGCGCCGACACACTATAAAACAAATGTGTTACAGTCGCGCAAGTCCGATAAAAAAAAAAAAACTAATCTAAGCTCGTGTTCCCTACGATTCGGACAGTCTACTAAACACGGCACAGTCAGTGAGAAAAAACAGTTTCATACAACATATATTTGTACAAAATCAATGGCCGATTCGACGCAAAACTTTTCAAAATTAGAAGATTTCTTCTTTAGCATTTGTAAAATTAAAAATGATAAAGATGACGATATTACTGTTTGGCAAATTTGAGACTAACCTTTTTTTAAGCTCGTTATTTGGAACCAATACTACTTTTGAAATGGCAAGTATGGTGAATATCTGAAATTTCAACGGTGAATTGGGGTGGAAAGGACAGAGTTGTTTTCGATGCATCGGCTTGAAACATCGTTTACAATAGTCTATTGAAGTCCATCACCACTAAAATTAAAATGGCTGGCCACATGAATTTTCGTTGTTATTGCAAAGAGCCGCAGTTTTGTTAAGATAAAATAGTTAAAAAGCGCTGCTACTGCTATGTTTGTCCTTTAACGAAAACGTGTAACTTAAAGCTACATGGCTCCATCAGCGTGTGTGCTGTGCTTGGTGTGTACCGGCCATCGGCACATTGGCGTCTTCTCTGAGGAGGGAAAAAAGTTGCACATCTGCGAAACAATAAACAAACACTTTTGGCTGGAGGTATAGTATAGTTCCTATTTGATACGAATAGAGGATAAACCTATACTGAAATTGCAGCTGAGTGGATCAGAAAGCAGCACTGAGACAGTATGCAAGGAGTGCTGGCAGAGTGTTAGTAGTTTTAACGAATTTTATCAACGCGTCTATAATGTGCACGAACATCGCAGGCGGGGTGAGGCGAAAAGCGTGCCTATTGAATTCTTTGGCGAGACTCTCAATCCACTTGCTCAGGCAAATGACATAGATGCACTTGCGGAAGGTTTCTTTGCCACAAATGAAGTAAAGGTGGAGGTAAATGAATTGGACCTACTGCCCAAAGTGGAGGTGTTTGAGGACCCAGTGGATACCGGGACGCTCGCAGGCTCGAAGCGCGGGAGTATTGCTCAGGATGGCGCAATGGGTGCTAAGAAGCGCATTAAGAGCGAGAGAACACCAGTGGACAGTGACTCTGATGGTGATGTACCGCTCGCGGAGTTCCTGAGCACCGACATCAGAACGGAGTCAAATGATTCAGCGCCACCGGCAGACATCAAACACATAAAACAAAGAAAGAAAAAGGTCTTGGAAGTGCCGCGGCGTTCTTTGAGGACACGCACAGTAAAAACTACAAAAGAGCCCACTCCGCCAACAGAACTAAAGAAAGAATATGAGTCTGACGATGATGATGATGATAATGATGCTGAGTTTGTGGCAGCAGAAGCCGTGCTCGGCACCGACGATAGCGCTAGCTCTAGCAGTAGCAGCGGGGGCGAAACAGACGATAGTCTACCAGATGCCGAGCCCGAAGAACGCTACGCAGAAATTCCCAAGCGTGTTGTAGTTAAACCGAAAAAATACCGCAAGCGGCCCAAACCGCTGGTCCCGCCAGTAAGGATGAGTCGAGAGGAGATCGAGCGACGCAAAAATCAGCAAAATGAATACGATGATATTATTTTGAAGTTCTTTAAGAAGATACCGTGTCATGTTTGCAATCTTCTTGTGCAAAACTTTGGTGACATGCGTAAACACCTCCGCATGTCGCATAACCTAGAGGGGTACATGCTCTGTTGTGGCCGGAAATTCTATATACGCAAAGCCCTCGCTGAACATGTCATGGTGCACGGGAATCCCGAGCAGTTCAAGTGCACAAAATGTGGGCGCATTTTTCAGGACTCGCGCACTCTTGAAATACATGAACAAACGCATACAAATCCCCAAACAGAGACAAAGGAGAAACGTGTTTTCCAGTGCGAAAAGTGTCCGAAGACGTTTTCTACGAAGGCGGCTATTGAGTACCATATAGTGTCAAAGCATGTGCCTAAGTCCGATTTTAAGTTCACATGCCCCGAGTGCAATAAAAAGTTAGTGTGTAGTAGTCAATCCATTCTATTGTTATTTAATTTCGGCTTATTTCCTTCAGAGTTCCAACGGAGCGCAAGCTGAAAGAGCACCTTAAGTACATGCACGACCCAGAGACCGCAATTATCTGTGATAAGTGCGGCAAGACAGTGCGTTCACAGGCAAATCTTAAGAAACATCATGAGCTGGAACACTCGGATGGGCCACGACCGAAACCAGATCCGGTGCAATGTGAAATCTGTGGCACGTGGCTGCGGCACATAAACGGCCTTAAGCAGCACATGAAGACCATACATGAGCCACCGGGTGGCGAACATCGATGTCCCATCTGTAACAAGACCTCAACAAATTCGCGCGCTCTCAAACGGCATATTTATCACAATCATGAATGCGAGCGTAAATTCAAATGCACAATGTGCGAGAAGGCCTTCAAACGGCCCCAGGATCTAAGAGTAAGTTCTGAAATTCTGCCTCCAATGCGCACCACATAACCTTCATACTTTGCAGGAGCACACATCCACCCACACGGGTGAAGTACTTTACACCTGTCCTAATTGTCCGATGACCTTCTTCTCCAATGCCAACATGTACAAACATCGGCAGCGCCTGCATCGCGCCGAGTGGGAGGCGGATCGAAAAAAGCCACTCCCCCCGAACATCATGCAACAGGCGGTGGGTGCCACAACTGCTCTGAAGAAACGGCAGGCGTCCGATGTTAATGCAACAGCTCTCTTCGGCCAACCGCCGCAGCATCTATAGCATAAATTAGAGCCGCATTTAAAATAGTATTTTAAATTTAAGTATAACGTAGATAAATCAGCACATTTACTAAACTCACTACACACTTACATACATACATTAATATAAAACGAACTTATTTACAAAGTAAAATTTTAATCTAATTCCCTCATCAGACTATGAAATATTTTTTGTAATTTCATTTTATATTAATGTTTAACATTTTAGCTTTAAAATTCGTGAAAATATTTCTAGTCTGATGAGGGTGTAGAGTATACATTTAATTTTCATCCTGTGGGATTTTCATAGTTTCACTCATGCCCTCCTCCCGATGTACGCTGGCCCAATGCTGCGCTAGCTCCAAACTTATTGCTTTCCGGAAAGCCATGCAGGTGATGTGTGGCAACTTCTCGAAGCGCACACGCAACAGCCCCATCTTGGCCAGCGCAAAACGCCAGTTTTTCATTAGTCCTGCATTTTTACCAACATGCTGTGAATCGGGTGTAATGATTACCAATATCCCCTCAGGTCGCAATAGTTCGTAGGCCTTCTGACAACACATCAGTCGCTGCTCTGAGCTTGGTACGTACTCCAACAACAGGCTAAAAATTACGCAGTCATAATAATTAGCCGGTAATATTTGCACGGTCCGGTCTTTCAAGACCGGCTCGTTCAAGTTCTCATCGACTGCAATACTGAGGAAATCCGCTTGAAGGACATCCGAAGTGGCCGGACACAAGTCAATTGCCGTCACATCCATGTACGGTGTACTACCAAATGGGTTAAAGCAGCTGCCTACGTCCAGTACCCGCAATTTATCCGGAGGCACTTCTAGGAAAGCACAGCCGACGCCCTCCAATTCTGTGTAAGAAGCCAACAGGCGCTGCTCTCTTTGCCGCTTTTGCATGTAAATGCGCTCCGTATAAAAGTATTTGGTTATATAGTTTATGGCCCACTTGATGCGACTGCGCGCCAGAGCCTCCTCGCTGCTTGCATTCGTCTCCCATATTGCTGCGAGTTTTTGCATCGCCCCCGCGTATTCCACCAACTTCTGTGTGTCCTTGATATGCTCATGCCAAGCTCGTTCAGCGCCATGTATTTTTGTCAGCTGTCGCAAATCCTCGTGACAGCTTTTCACAATGTTCGCCAACCTTTGGTGCTCCTCGGAGGTCATTTTTCATTTAATTATTATATTTTGAGTACATTGAAAAAAAGATTTCTGTTATTAACTCCACTGCAAAAATTGCAAGCTACTCTCACACTTCGGGTTTGTGTATGTACATATGTATGTCTGTATATGTACAGGGTATGCGCAGTGCTGTCAAAATCCAACAGAAATAGTGTTGAGCATCGAGACATGATTTCAAACAAAAACCGTTACAGCCAACGGCTCTTACGTTCAGAACAATTCATTATAAACGCAACTAAAAAGGTAAACTGGAACTTAAATTGGCGAAAAATGTTTAAGATGAAAAAATACTAATATTAAATAAATAGATATTTAATTTATACGGTTAACAGAAAATAGTAATAGGGCAGAGCATCCTGGACATTACCATATTGTTGTGGCAAAACTAAACTAAACAAAAAATCATTGTACACTAATAATGAAAGTTTGCAAGTGTCATTAAAGATACATTTACACGTAGTACACGTATGTATATGCATATTTGTATATGAGCTGAAATTATTCAACTGAAAATGCTACTAATTGAGCATTATTATTTCATATTTGCACACGAGCAGCGAAGCTTTTCAGTGACTTATAAGAAAAACTTTATTCCTGTTTTCCTCAAATTAAATACTCTACTGTGTGCCCTTTATTTAATTTCGCATTAGAAAGTATTTTTACCATTTAGTTTACCATTTTAAGATTCGAACTAAAAATCATTTTAAAATTTTGTTAAATTAACTATGTACGTTATGTATATGATGTACTGATCTGACGTGGTTAGTCTCGACATTTGTATTATCTGTGTCTGTCAAGCAGAACACTAGACGTAAAGTTTCAAAGTCAAGTGCAGTGTACGATGCTTCTTTATGGGCGTTACAAACTTACACACCAGAACCATTACTCTTTCCAGTGGAGGGTATACAATTGGTTTATATTATTAATGTACGTAAATGCGAACTGAGACTATAGCGTTTTAAAATTCAAATTAAAAATATTCGTATCTAGATAAATAAAGCACATCGTGAATTGTCATACATAGTATATGTATGTAGTGTGTGTGAGTATGTAGCTTTTGTTTTCGCTTTCAGTTAAAAGTAACACGTTCACAACGTCAGTTCTGTAAGCGATAGATCGTAGAGAATCGCAATAATTGAAATTGTTATAAACATTTCTGTGTTTTGTGTTATTTTTTTGTATAAAATGCATATGAATTAAAGTTAAAGGCATAGCCTGGTTATAATGATGTTATCATTGAGAGCTTGATGCAGATAAGCTGTAATTCAAGTCTAAGTGCCTTAAATCATGATTGTGTAACGCCAGTTTTGTGAGAACTGCCATTGAAGTGGGTCAGTTGAAACGCCAAACTGTTCATATCAAGTACAGCCGGTATGGACATGTGCGGTAGAACCAGTTGCTAACATCGGTAACAACAATTACTACACTCTATATGCATAGTTATGCATATCGCAGCGAGTTAGCATTAGTCAGCGAATGCTCGGAACTTTTAAGATAGGGCGCATAGTTGACAATGTGGAATGAGTTGCTGATAAGTAATCGGGCTTAGAACTCATTTCTATTGTTTCAGTGACCCCAGAAGTCAAGTGTGTGCTAAAACACATTTATTTAAATCTATGTACACTTTGTACTCAATTTTATATGCACCATGCTGTGAGTGTATGTATTGAAATGAAGCGATAAAATGTAATAATAATTAATAATAATAAACTACAGACTAGTCAACATCCAATTGATAAAGCACTTTACATAGTTTTAGCTACGACATTAGCCATTCCCCAGACTTCTGTCTGCTGTCGGCTTCCCGCGACCCGATAAGCCATAAGCCCTAAACAAACAATCCGATCGCTGTCGATAGGCGCGCCAATCTCGGGTATTTAAAATGACTTCCCAAACATTTGAAGTCTTACTGTGAGCGTAAATGTTGCTCTTTGCTTGTATAGGTCCAATCCTTATCAATAACTTATCGCTTCATGTATAATCACTGAAGTGAATGCTTAAACGTCAATAGTTCTCGCATTGTGGTCAGTTGAGTTTCGCCGGCCGGGCAGTTTAGGCAAGGAAAGACATTTTAGTGAATCATTTGATTGCTGGCAAATACATATACAATATGAAGATTGAATGGGCCCCGGTTAAGGTGTCGCCAAGGCGACGTTTGCAAACCTTGGTCACGGCTTTCTTCACCTTCTCCTTTTTCACACTGCCGCTGGTGTCGCTCATCATTCTTGCAATGTTGCTGGTAAGTGGAACACGTCAACACATTCTTCCAGACCTGCGTTTATATATATACTATATTTTACTAAGGCTGATTTAACTTTCAGTATTATGGAGGCATCATAGTGCGCACACTTGTGCCCATTTATCTGGTTTATGTGTACTATGATCACAAGAAAAATCACTCGGCCGTGGATGGTAATGGGTGAGTACCAGGATGAGATAAATACGACCCTAATAATCAGTGATATTTAACCCATAGTTGGCTATTTAATCGAAATAACGCCTTTAATCGCAACTACCGGGACTACTTTCCTGTAGAACTGGTTAAGACAGCTGATCTTCCGCCAAATAGGAACTATATATTGGCCAGCTTTCCACATGGCGTTCTAGGGTAAGTGTCGTGCTCTGAAGTGGCGTGTAAAGTACATACTCAATGGAAACCTCATTGTTCCAAACAGTACTGGGATTTGCATCAACATGGGTCTGGACATTGGCAAGTGGCTCTCATTGTTCCCACAAGTGCGTCCCAAAGTGGCTACATTGGATCAGCATTTCATTACGCCCCTCCTACGTGAACTTTTGCGCTCCTGGGGCCTGGTTTCGGTGTCCAAAGAATCGCTCACCTACTACCTTAGCAAATCGAATGATCCGAAGCATTCGGACAATCGGGATGGTTTCACATCTAATGCCGTGGCCATATTGGTGGGAGGCGCTCAAGAGGCGCTCGATACGCATCCAGGAAAATATATTCTAACGCTGAAGAATCGTAAAGGATTTGTCAAGTTGGCTATACGCACGGGGTAAGTGGCCCTCGACATTTATAACAATATACAAAGGTATATTTAATTATTTTTTTGAATGCAGCTCACCTATTGTGCCAACATTTTCATTTGGCGAGGTCGATATATTCGATCAAGTCAATAATCCACCGGATTCGCTGCTTAGACGTATCCAAACACTAGTCAAGAAGTTGACGGGCATTTCTCCGTTAATTCCTGTAGGTCGCGGTTTCTTCAACTATACCTTTGGATTCCTGCCCCATCGCAGACCCGTCGTGCAAGTTGGTAAGTCCCAGACATATTCTAGCAGGCATTCCTCTAACATATAGTGTACAACTTACAGTTGGGGCCCCCATTGCGGTAAAACAGAGCGCGCAGCCCACAGCGGAATATGTGGATGAGATTCACGGACAGGTTATAGCCGCACTGGAGCTGATGTTTGACAAGCACAAGGAGAAATATTTGGCGGGCTCCAAGAACATAAAACTGGTCATACAATAGGGCCAGAGTCGTGATTTTGATGGGCTGTAGTTGAAATATGTGATTACAGGTTGTTAGTGAAGCTTCTATTAACCAGTTTGAAGTAATAATTGTTAGTCCGAATAGATTGTTAAAACGCAGAGGCGTTGTTATTTGTAACGAAAGCGTATTTGTTTTTATTAATTTACCAATTAAATTTGTTATACTTTATATACAAAAGGAAAAACGGAGTTATATTTTAAATGGTATTGAAAACTTAAACTTAATTTTGCTTACTTTCATCTCATCTCATACTCGTATTTATCGATTTAGTTTTAACAACTATAAGGGGCATTTAAAAATACATGCTATGCTAAATTGAATCGCAGAATTTTTTTTGGTTTGAATACGAGTAAGTTACAATTAAATTAGCAACAAATCACCATTTAGAGTTTTTGAAGCAGTAGAAAATATTTGCTGGACTATTTTTTGATTGATCAGAAACTATAGTAATAGTGGGGCTATTTTGAATGGCATTTTGTAAAGTCTAATTAGTCGACTATATAATTATGTTATGGGTATTTTAACTACATATGTATATTTAACATTAAGAATTCTGAAAAAATACATTCTTCAAAAGGAACACTTGGCATAAATGGGCTGCTGGGTTCTTTATATACTCGTAGTTCTATAATTATGTCATATACATAGCTGGTGAGTGAGGAACTAAGCGAATGGATATAGTTTAAATGGATGTTCTATATTCCAGCTTTAATTTCGTCCAGATCATATGCATGTATGTGTCGTGCCTTCTACGCACATACACTACATTTAAGTAGTATATATGAAAAATGTGAAGATACTATATATACAGTATATATATATAGTCTAAGGAAATGCATTACTGTACTTTTGCTTACATATTTTTCGAGTAGTTTGTTTGCTTCTTGAAAAATTGGGGGTTCTTGGGATTCTTAAACGATATTTTGTAAATTTTCTTTCAAAGAGTTAATTATGTTATATTGTGATTAGTTTGTTGGTATGTACTTGTAATTTGTTGAAGTAATTTTAGTATATTTTTGTTTAAATTTAAAATTAGAGTGAGTTGTGAGTTGTGCCAAGCTCGTAGCATCGTTCATACATTGTTAGTAGATAGTTTGTTAGCATAAAAACTGGTCTATGTAGTTTTCATTCAATAAATACAGATACATTTGTGTATGATGTAATTAAATACCTATGTATATTCTCTAATATTTTTGGGACTTACTTCAAGTTCTCTTTTAAACTCTTACTTAAACTTTTGCCGTACTTACTGCAATTGCGATAACAAAAATATATGCTTTGTTTTCGTTTTAGTCATGCATTTTGTAATTCTCTAAGCAAATTCCATTATATTTTGTTTAGCTAATTGCTTTGTAAAATATTTACTTCAATTTGGCATTAATTTATATCTCTTTTAGGGGGCACACAAATACCGTATGTTACGCATTTATGTTTACGGGCATTGGTTGTCAGTTAGCAAGGACCAACAGGAAAAACATTAACGGGTATATTGCATATGTCCTGTCCTTCAAATATAATTAATTATATATTATTGTATGCATTATATGTTCTTCTTCAAGGTACTAGCCAGGCTGATCATTTGCTAAAAGCGCAAACTATGACAAAGGTAATACGTGTATTACTGTGGTTCCAAAAAGCGTATGACTTTCATTTAATTTGTCGATTTGTATTTTTGATTTGGTTTCGTTTCATTTTGTTTTAAATCAATCCCTGAGTGCAATTCGGAATAATTTAACCGCTTAAAATTCTGTTTACTGTAATTGCTGTAATTGTTTCTCTCTTGGTGTTATAGCTTCATTTGAATTGGGGCTTTGGTTTTGCGTATCTTATTTAAAGTTTCAGCATTTTCGAATTGATTTGGTTGGGAATTTCATAATTTTGTGTTGCATTAGTGCTTGAGTGCTTTAATTGATTTGTTGACATTTTGAAAAAGTATTTATTAGCTACAAAGACTTAATAAGAATTGCCAATTTCATTATTTTATGAATATAAAATGAGACGTGCTTTAGTCAAAAATTGTTTATAATTTTCTTGATTGAGCGCAAAAGGTGCATGGAAGATTAACAAGGACGTGTATCAAGTTTTAGTTTTCGTTTCATTTAAACGTATATCAAAGATATTTGCTTGTTGTTGTCATTTTTTGTTTTTTATTTATAACACTTAACATTTATTATAATGCTTTTTATTTTGTTGTTGGTGTTTTATTTGCGGGCCTTACCGGTGAGCTCTAATATCTACAAAAGTTTTGTTTCATGTACTAACAATTCGAATTTCTCTGACTGGATCCATTGTTTTATTATTTCTTCTAACATGTTCAAAATATATAAAGGGATCTATTTCTTTTTGTTAATTTTATTTGTTTTTATATATGTATACATAACTATGTATATATTTGTTGAATTTATCAAGTTATATATGTATATTAAATTTATATATAAATACAATTGAATTTATAGTACGTATGCTTGCATTTACTGTACGCCTTCTGCTCATCCTCGTGGAATTGTTCTCGACTGATGCATCAGATACATATGTACATACTTGCGTGTGTATATAATTGTTTATGGTTTCGAGTACTAATATTAACACGCTGTAATAATACAATTTTAAATTGCAAAGATAACTACAACAATCATTTCTGTATTTTTTACTCTTCTCTTGTATATAATATAAATAATTTTATTTTCTTCAGCATGCTGTGTTTTTTGACTTGCCATTGTTTTCCTCTCCAGCTTGGGATTCGCGTGCTTGTGTTGCTGCTTACAGAGATTTTTGCCAAGGAACAATTTTTAGAGCTTCAATCCGAAGTCTCTGCTATAATTCAATTTTCAATTTTGTAGCTGCTTGCCAACTAATTAACTAATTTCATGCTTCTCATAAGAATTTTTTACATTTTGTTTCCTTTTCATTTTCATTTACTTGTTCATCTTCATGTTATTCATTAAGCTAACATGCTCCTAATGTTTTGGATTTGTTCTACAAATGTTGTCTAAGCCTGCCATTAACTACATAGTATTATTTGGATATAACAAACATAGCCCCGATCCCATCCAAAACTGAAAACAAGGGCGCTTGTCCAGCAGGTGCGGGCGTAGGCGTTGGCGTCGGCGTCGGAGTAGGCGTAGGCGTAGGCGTAGGAGCAGACGCAGACGCGGCCCTGTCAACAATTTCTATGCATCCCTAAAGTATGCTACACAATTTTAACAAAACATGCGCACATGCCAAAGGTACTTTTGATATTACAACGCATATGCCAACCACATGCAGGTAAACAAACAAATTTCTTAGGTCAAAAACAAGGTACTATAAAATCTATAAAAAATCGCATTATAAGTACGGGTGTGTGTATATATGTATATATATATATGTGTATATCTTTTATGTATATATAGCTATGGTGGTTTCACTGTCTAGACAGCAACAATGGCCGCTATCTACGAAGCAGTCGGCACTGGATTAAAATAATGTAGGCCATTGGTCTGTAAAAGGCAAAAAATAAAGATCAATTTAGAAGAAATAATCATATGCAGATAGATATGCGTAGATACGTACCGCCATATCGTATTCTGTTATATAGGCGGGTATCTCCAGCTGATCTTTTGTAATGGCCGAATACAAATGCTCCACGCCAGGCAATGAGTGAACTTTGGCCTTAATGGCGGGTGCCATGAAGGTGGTGAACCACCAGGTCATCATCTTAGTCCAGAATGTGGGGTGCACAATATAGAAGGCCTTCAGATTCTTCTTGTATCTAAATGAGATATTCGTTAGTTAACATTTTATATTATCTGAAGATAACTGTGCGACTTACTTGTATGGCAATACGCTGTAGACCTCACGCAGCCAATGCAACGATGGATAATTGCTTGTCGACGTTAGGGTATGGAAGTATGCAATTACATAGTCTCCTTTCACGATGGGATCTAAGAGTTTTATCAGATATAATAGCGCCTGCAAAGAGAAATGAGTTCAATGTTAAATTTGAATCTTAAGTAAATAGTCTGTCAGCCTCGAACTTGCCTTCTCTAAATCAAGATTCTGTGCTGGAAACCATTTGCCGCAGAAAACAATCACAGGTCGGCCTAAGCGATCAACGCCACTCTGATAGAGACAACCAATGCCCGACACCTCGGTGAGGTCCTCAACTTGTGCGCGTCGCAAAAGACGTTCGTATCTGAAATGCGTAAAATATGTATGTTTAGTAGATTAATTCTATTTATTCATGATTTACGGGCATATTGTTTGTAACTCGAGCAATGATTGCATTATTATTCATTATCGTATTCCCTTTGTTCGTCATTTTGATTTGAAGCCTACCATGGCAACTGCACTCAATAATTCCATAATTCCATGACGTATGGAATTTTTTCCTTTATACCATGGAATGAATAAGTAGTTCATGTCTGTGCTCTACATAGCACCCATTCATATGGTATGTTTGTAAAATAACTGTTGTGTGTATTGATTAAATCAACAACATATTCGCACCTACGTATATTTTCTTTTCCCATTTAATTGCTTGGCTATGTACTGAAAATATGTTAAATATATAACGATTTAGCAGCTCAGCAGATACAGAACACAAATTATTTCTGCGATCCATTGTCAGTTATCCAACGTCGACACCCTCTGACTAATCGAAGAGGCAGGGAACTCGAGTCTGGTCTTTTGAACTGTTTAATTGTGTATGCTGGCAGCTGTTAAAGAGTATTACAAAAAAAAAAAAAAGAAAAACCATGCAAATATTGTATGCCCTTTCAGTTAATCTGCCTTGGGGTCAATGGACATGTGATTGCGCATAACTTTCATGGTTTTCATGGCGATGTTGAAACTCGGTCTTTTAAGGCTTTCTGTCACTCAAGACGTGAAATGCCGCAGTAACCTGTTTGTTATAATCAGGTGCCTGCTTAGAGATCTGGGCACATACGCGTACAAAGATCCTATTTGCATAGCACATTATAAATTTTGAAGGCATGCCACGAAAGCTATTTTTTACGCGTAACATTGTACTTTTGTCTTATTTGCTGATTTTTTTCCGCTCTGAAACAAATGCAAATATTTGTTTATAGATAAGCCAACATGCGCAATTCAGCTTAAAGCAAGTGAAGAGTGTCATCGAATAAATACGAGTAGGCAATTCAACCCAAAAATCCACTAAACACCCAATACGGTACACATATTTATAAATTGATATAAATCTACAAAGCCCCTGGTTGACTCAGTGGAGTTGCTCACTAATAGTTTTATATACATATACTAGATGTAGTTATATGCCTGCGAAATCGTGTTAATTGAATTCGAGCCATATAAAGAAACAGCGTGAGTAATAGTTTTAAGCTGCGATTTTTGAAAAGACACACCAAATATTTGATACTCTGGTACTGCGATTTTAACAGAAAATATTGTTTGTTTGTTTCTAACATTTGTTTACATTTTGTTTTATTTAAAAGAAAAATGATTTGAATGGAAAAAATTGGAATATTCTACAACATCTGAATGCAGTTCAGAAGCAGACAACCTCTTCCTATATTTATATACATGGGTACAATTTCTCTACACATCCAAATATAGATGTAGATGCTCTGCCCGAAACAAGAGGCATCCAAATTTTGATTCAATTTTAAATAAACATTGGGAAAACTTAACCAATAATGATTAGTAAATTGATCAATCGTGTCTGTAGTTGCGTGATCGTGAAGTGCAAAAAGTACCGTCGATATCGTGATTGAGATAAAAAAAATTAAGTTCTTTTATGCACCAACATAAATCGACTTCAGACCACAACAGATACAAATGTATCTATCTAAAACTAATGGTCTAATACGAGCAATTGAACTACTCTGCTAATGTTAGTGTATATCTATATATTTATTCCTATTTTAGTCTTTCTATTTGTAGATTTTGTGACTCACTTTGCGTCTCTTTTTTATTTAGAATTTTCGCTGATGGCTTAGAAGCTCAAAAACACGTGAGCCTGCCATATAATCAGAAGTCGTTTGATGTTTATTCAGAAGCTACGTGTCGCATTGGCGTCTTTTAATTTACCGCAAAGCCGCAACAAAGACATCGCCCGAGCGCAGGGGTGGAAGGGGCGCCAACGGCGACGTCAGCGTCGGCATCGCTTAGTTCTGAGATAAGCGCTCATCCCCAGTAGCGCAAATAGATAAGAGATACTGCATCGTAAACAAAATCTGACGACATTTGTAGCAAATATCAGCTGTGGGCATCTGCCTAAATAATGCGGATGGCTATATATTTTTTTAATGCATTGTAAGTGGCGTGTGAAAACTCGAATGTTGACTTTTATAGTATATACATATGTAAATACATACTATATATGCATCTGTCATAAATTACTTAGATGCTGCTTTATTTGATTACCGCATTAGGTAATTTAGATGCTAAGCTACTGGTTTTGAACAGAACTTGAATGTTTTAATCATGTTAATCATCGTCAGTTCTGAATTGCTAAACTGATCTGAAAATCATCGAAGAGAGATATTCTGAGATAAAAAAGAAATACTTCAAAGTTTCCCATTTCAAGGGAGTTGTCGGAGCAATTCATATTAATTTTATTTCCATTATAATACTCATTTTCCGAGTTGATTTTGCCATTTGCATGCCCAACTAATATAATTTAAAATATCACATCTCTTCATGTTATAATCAATTATTGCTGCGCACAAGATGCTGATCGAAGTTCTCGGGCAGACCGGTAATAATAAATAGAATAAATAGCAATCATGCAACAACAGGATAAACTGCTTTCTATTCATTTAAATTCCCACTGTTCTCACAGATTGAGTTGCATTATTCAACAATTGTTCCAAATAGACTGTTGTTGATAATTTGTGGACTAAGTAGTTATAGCAAGACATGCTTAGACTACTTCTACTGCTTACTACTAGGCAGGCAATGAATAATTACATATGTGGTTGTTGTGTCTAAAGGACAAATCGTCTTAGTGCCAATGTCTAAAAATATCCAATAGCCAGCCAAGCGCCTTAATCGTAGCTCTGTTCTGCTAATAACTACAATGCTCATAGTAACAACAATACGTTTGAATTCGAAATTAGTTCACACAATTGGCAGGCACACTCACAAGCTCGAGGAGAGAGCGGCAGACAGACATACAGACATACAGACGGAGGCATGGATGACTAGATGGTGGGACGAATGGACGGACAAGACCTTTAACACTGCGCATTTCTGGTCACGCAGAGCCATAGAACACGCCACTGACGTCAGCTAGGCAGTCAGAAAAAGGAAAATGCTCTAGAAATGTACGCGAGTATTACACCATAACTATAACATAATGCTATATGCATATTATATTAATGTATATTGCTTGGAATCGAGCAAATGGCGTCTTTTTCGGGATCATCACCGCCGTCACAGCTACGGACTGGGTTGTTTACTTTCAAGATACATATGTCTGAGCCCGTACGCCCCCCTCCCCCCCCACCCGACTCTTTTTGCTCTTGTTGCAGCGCCCACTTCATGACTGAATCATGCAATTGATTTTTGTTGTTGTGCAGCCCCAATGCCCCATGTTTTTGTTGTTTTTACCTCTCCTCTGGCGTCTCGATGAGCTCATCAGGCAATACATCGCCAATGTCCCTGGTCGTCTCCTGCATGGGACTGGAGCCCAAGTCTATGGACGTCATACCTTCGAGCATTGTCATGATTGTATTTGTTGTTGTTGTTGTTGTTGTTGCTGTACTTGTAGTTGCTGTTAAGGTGGGTGTTGTTTCTATCTTATTTGTGGTGGGCGCAGCCTTTTGTTATGCTCCTCTATGTTTTCAGCTCTTTCCACTTTCCACTACGCTTTAATTCTTATTAGTTTGTGCACCGCCTTCTGTCTGTGTGTCAATTATCTTGTTGTCTTTACAGTTTATCGATTTTAGGCACGAAGAAATGTTTTTCTTTTTTTCAGTTGTTTGGTTCTTTTTGAAAATTCTTGTGATTGTTCGAAATTACTAAGAAAAGTGCACTTGGGGTTCAATTCGTTGACGCAAAAATGGTTGAGCGTTTTACTTTTAGTTTATTTTTGGCTCAACTTTTCTATATAGCCTTCTATATAGTACAAGTATGTATAGTTATACGTAAGTTGTTTTTCAATATGTGGCAGCGTTTTTGGCCAGACTTTTGCGTTCTACCGGAAGCCGCGCGTGGAAATGGCGTATGAAAAAATACTTTTACTTGATTTGATTTTCTTCTTTCTTTTTTTTTTTTTTTTGGCTATACTCGTATATACTACTTATAGATTTATTTTGAGTACGCTTTTATATAAATTGGCGCTACGAGTTTGTGTGCGCAGTTGCCGATGTTGATGTTGATGCCGATGCCCAAAATTATTCGCGACCACGACCGTTTGCTTTGAGTTGCGTTTCTCGACTGAGCATGGCACGTACAGATGCCCGTACTCTTGAATGCCTGTCCATGCTCACGTACTATGTATGTACATACTTGTATGTATATAATGTGTACACAGTGTCGGCAGCAGCACAGTGCCGTGAAATGCCGCATACCGCGCGCACATAGCAGGAAACCTAATGTGCTCTCTGTCGCTCTCTTTATGACGAAATTAGTGTGCTTTTGCTCTCTCTTTGCCACTCTCTTTCCGTTTTGACAATAGAGTTGGGGCTGCATGCAACTGCCAACTCATGTGCTCCCACGCGTATGCGCCCTTTTGACTGTTCAATGACATCAGTTTTTCAACAACAACCACAACAACAACAAGCTGGATAACAACTGCAGAGATAACAACAACTGCACAGGAAATTGTACAAGGACATGCAAGGCAACCTGCTAACCACTTTATTTGTGCAAATGCCATGTCAGTACGACTAACTGACTAACTGGCTGGCATTTTAGGCAGTTGCTTGCTCAACTTGTCAAAAAAATCTGTGCAAATGTTTGCACTCGGATATCGTGTGTGTGTGTGTGTGTATGTGTGTGTGTGTGTGTGTGTGTGTGTGTGTGTGTGTGTGTGTGTGTGGGTGAGTGTAAGTTTTTGTTTTAAAACAAAAACAAGTGAATGTTATTGCAGAATGCCATTTCGTTTGTTTTTTTTTTTTTTAATTTTTTGGAGTTTTCCTTAAATTGAATGATATTTTCCTCTTCCTTTGCATCACTTTATTTTGGCGTGTGCCAATCAAAAATAATTCATTTGCACACTGTTTCAATTTTGAATGAGCAGCTCACACACACACACACACACACGCACACAAGTACAATGAACCAATTAACGAGATGTCGTACGACAGGAAATACTGTTTAACGTTCTGTGTTTCAATTTTATTAATTTTTTATTCAAACTAAGTGTATACTATATTTGCATATAGTATGTTTGTGTATTTAATTAAAAAGATTTGCTGTTAAGTGTCGACAAAATGCGAAATATGATGCTTGCTTATGTCGTTTCATTCAATGAACCGCAACGTTTCGATTTTGATTTCGTTGAGTTAACATCAAATGCGCACAGACGTGTCGCATCTGAGAGTTTCAATAACCGCAGCCTCAAAAGCCGCTCGTATCTTCAGCGCATGCCACAAAATCTGGCTGGCATGTGACATGAATGAAATGCATGAGCTAATTGTACTATATAAGCGTCGATTTGGATCGATATGGAACATGCATGCCAATGGCCCTTGTACCTGGCCTAATTCGGTTAACAATTAGCAATCGGTGCAATGTCCGAGACTAATGTAATTACACTGGCTGCTTAAATGATGAAAATACACAAGCCATCGAAAATGTCGGCAAATATGTATGTGTTGAACTCCAAATAGTATATTGTTAGAGTTGAATAAACTGCAACCAGCTTTGTTCGATTTTTAACAAACATTTGAAGAGTATGAAAGAAAAAGATTTACAATTAAATCCGATTGAAATAATAATTTGAACTTTTATTCACTTTTCCTTTTTTGAAAATTTATCAAAATTCATTAAATTATTTGTCTGCCATTATTGTAGCTTGTTTATAATTTTACTAAAATGAAATTCAATATTGACGTTAAATTCTATTGAAAACGTAGCCAAAATTGAATTTCTAGCAAGCTGTGATGGAACAAAGCAAAAGTTCATTTCTGTGATGGACATGAAAACAATCAGAAATCCACACTGTTCGTGCTTTGATGCTAAAATCTATTTGCCAGTAATGAAAATTGTTTAATTTCAATCTGTGATGTGCCAGCTCGTAAATAATTTATTACTAATAATAGGTTAAGGATCGTGTCAAAACTCAAATCACTAATTTTTTTAAATTTTGTTGAAAGGAAACAAAAAAATGATAAATTAAAGAGGACCGTCTATTGCGTTTAAACCTATCTTGCTAGATATTTCGCCTTAAAGGGGCAGCTTAAAGTTAAGTTCAAATTAAAACCCGGGGCGCCTGAATGTTCCTCAATAGGGGTCCACACATCTTGAATATTCATATATTAGGTTATAGAAGTTCTTGAGATGCTTTAGTAACTTGAAATTAGACTTTGAATATACTTATAATACCAAAGAAATTTGTTGTGGTCGAAAACTAATTTGAGGTGCCCTTGAACTTTGAACTTATTGGAAGTAATTGAATTAGCAATATATTCATGACATTTTTGTTAAATTCATTGAGCATTTCCTTTCTTTCATTTAGGACACCTAATATTATGGCGCATCTTTTATAGCAGCAAGCCAAGGGTCGAGTCAGCTATTTTTATCCCATACTCCTATTTTTGGACGAACCGTACTTAGACTTAACGTCATGGGCACATGCAACTGATGACGAACTTCAGGTGAGACGTCACGGTTCGTGTTTGATGGAATGAAGTCATGACGTCATGGGCAGACAGCCACCTGCTGGCACATGGTGCCGGCCCCACTCGAAGCTCTAGATTCAATTAGCACCCTGCAGGACGACAGCCACTTCATTACACTTGCACAAATTGCGTTCGCGTGCAAATGTTGTGTAAAATTTCGAGAACGACAGCTAAGGAATTTACATAGGCGGACACGGAAGCCAACAGTTCGGCCTTTGAGGGGCATTTGTTGGACGGTCAAGATATTTCCGGCACGTTGTAATAAATATTATACTATGTGTTTATAAGCGCTTGCCGCATGCCCAAACAGCTCGACAATCCGACAGGCGCAGTTGGGGGAGGGAAGGTGCTTAATAAGGAAGGAGTTTACTTGCTGCTTGCCTCTGGCTTGGTCTTTGATCTGCTGTTTTCAGTTTTCATGGGCTGCAGACAGCTGGGCAAATGTAATTAGTGACGCAAGTGGACACTTGATACATACATAGATAAGTATACTTGTACATATAGTACATAAACAAGTAGTATAGGCATACGATTGTTTAAGCTTGTGTCTAGCTGTCAACGCTGCTGTTGACATTGTGTAATATTTTAATGCGAGTGTGCTTGCGCAGCAACCATAACAAAGTTGTCAGTGTTGTGAGAAGAACGCCGGCACTCACCTCTCTTGGTGTTCCATGCCCTCGATGCCCTCCGAGATGACGTTTTCATAAATGCCGGCGCGTGGTCTGTCGCTTAGCAAGTGCTGTCTGTCCAGATCACGCTGTAATTTGAGCAGTGGAAGCATTTATGCAATTAGTTAAATGGAAATGGAAATGACCTATTGACCTAGGCAAGTTGGAGGAGTTGACACTAAATAAATACCTGGAGCTGTGTCTGCAGCCCGCTGCTGTACGAGTTCAAGCTGAGGCCATTCATGTTGGTGGTGCCGCCCTCCAGATCGGAGCTATTGCCTTCCATATCGTGCGGACTGGCGTCGGAATCGTCGTCGGCTGCAACAAAAATCAATTTGTTTTATTTGAGTTGTGATGACACAGCTAACTAAACATATACTATGAAGAGTAAATAGTCTTGTATTACATGAAAACTCAAACGAATTGTTTATCATTTTTATTGACGCGCTCTTTAACGAAGATTAAGAAAGCAGTCAGCGCCACAATATATTTATAATATAAGCCGTTCAGAGCCGTTTGGCGCACTGGGCACTTGTTTGTCACTGCAATGTTTCCGAGCAAAAGCGCGAGCAAGCGAGTTAGCGTGGGCTGCTGTCGGGCCAACTGAGAAACTGACTGGACCTGGATTCTGCAGCATCAGCAGCAGCAGCAACTGAAGCAGCAGCAGAGCAGAATCAGCATCAGCATCTCGCGTCATATAGGCTCATTCCGCACCCAGCCCTGGCCCGCTTGGCGAGATAAAATCAAACGCGTTGTTAGTGATAAACAAGTTGCGTTGTATCTGCCTAAGAGCTGACATGATTTAAGAAAGAAGCACAGGCTTTGTCTAAAATAACACAAGTAAGCAACCAACAGCCACTGACAGTCGAGTGGCTTGATAAGCGATCCACTGAATTTGATTTCAGGTACGTGTTGTTTTTATCTCCAACATGTCATACGAAAATTGTTTAGTTTTTGAAATAAATATAATTGTAAACGCGAATAAATTTGCTACGCAATTTGCAATTAATAAGTGCATGTATTACGAGGCGCATACACATTCATATACGAGTACAATAGTGTGGATTAATTGCCGTTTGCTTTATTTTATTTAACTATTTATTTTGCATTATTTATTTTATTCGAACTAGATAACAATTCAGCTGCGAGGAAAAGCATTTAATCTTTTTAATACATACTGCTGTTCTCGTTTATGCTTTTGAAAATAATACTACAACAGCGGGATGCTACTAATACCTCTAATTGCAATTAGTTTCGGTATTTAAGTGTAATTCGAATAATACTCGGATATGGTCTTCAGCGAATAATAAAGCAGGCATTATTGAAACGAAATGCTGTGCTTCTTTACATCTACTACGAAGTTAAGGCTTGGTATGCCCGTGTTATTGGGTTAGCCTTCTAAGCCACTTACATTAAAAAACAAATTGAAGGTCGTTAGAACTTGAACTGATTGATAATGAAATCAACGCTGTCCAACTGGTTGGTTGTTGAAAAAGTATGAATGAAAATAATTGCTTAAAAGATTCAGATCAGAAGCACTTAAATTGGGAGCTAATCCGAGTAATAGAATCCTCTCTAATAAACATAATAATAATAATTTAATTACTAATGAAAACGTTTATCAAGTTCCATTTGGTATCATGCCGGTGTTATTGTAATTAGTCTTCTAAGCTACATTTAAAAACAGATTGAAGTTCGTTAGAACTTGAACAGATTGATAATGAGATCAACGCTGTCCAACTGCTTGCTTCACGGAGCGTATACGCAATGTTAAATTATATCATATCACGGCAAAAGTTGTGAAAAGTATGAATGAAAATAATTTCCTAAAAGATTCAGATCAGAAGCACTTAAACTGGGAGTTAATCCGAGTAATAGGGATAACTTGTGGATAAGCCGGGCATAAATGCGGTTTTAAATTCTATTTCAGAGACTGGCTAAATTTTTTAATTTTATATTTCATAAAAAATGGTGTCTAATAAACAGATTTATAATTTAATTGCTAATAAAAAAGTGTCTATATCTCTATTAGTTTTTGAATTGTTACTATGTATGTACTTGTATGTAATTAGCTTTTTTGCCTGTTCTAACAAGCAGTTCATAATTTTGTACGCGCCCCCAAAGTATGCAACGCTTTTATTCCTGAATTTCATGCCATAACTGCCATAAACACAAATAGATAATTGTTGTTGTTGTTGTTGCTGTTCACATACAGAATGACGGCACAAATAGGAGGATAATTTAAGCGGATTAATTATGAAGCACCAACGCTTTCGAGTGGTGTTTAAATAAAGCTTAAAGCAGCATAATGACAATATGGGCTTTATGCTTTAACGGCCGTTTTAACAATTTCGATAAATTTCAGAATTTTTGTGGCACTTTTGTGGTTTTCAAAAGTAGCTCATGTATGTTTATCGACCGCTTGCGCATGTTGTGGCATATAATTCACCTTTTTGCAACATGTTTATTATATTATATTTAAATTTGTACGTACATTTGAATGTAGTATACTTGTAGTAGGTACTCGTACTTAATTAGTTATGCACTCTTTGCTCTATTTATTTGTACGATTTAGCTGGAATGGCGTAATTGGAACGAAAACACGGTTAATCAAATGTGCAAAATGAATACACCTTCGCTGGGTGACCAGACGCGCGGCTCTGGCGAACGTAACTGGAAGCCCTAGCAGTGTGGCAATTTCATTTGACGACGTTCTGTTTGGTGTTTTGTGGCCCAAGCCCAAGCTCTAATCTTATCGACATTATTGGCAGTTGTTAAAGAGCCCACACATGAGCGTACAGACGCGAACGGGGGCAGGCAGTCTGACTTGCTGTATCTATGTACTACTTATCAGTTGAGTCGATCATGCTGATTAGCCAGCTAGTAGTATCTATGCATGACGCAGTTGCCGGCGATACTCACTTTGTTGGTGACGCATATGGACGCTGTGTTGTGGATTGCGAATAATGCGAATTTGACGATCCGGATGCTGTGGCTCTCCAAACTCGCCACCAATGTCCTTGGGCAGTTGCCACATGGCACTGCGCTCCTCCAGTTGATCGCGTGGAAAGTAGAGGGGCGCCAGCACCTCGTAGGTGCCGCGATCGTGAGGACTCACGCACAATATCACAACCTGCAGCGTAAACTTGTCCAAAAACCGTCGTATGGTGCCTGTTGAGTTGAAGTGTGTGTGTGTGTGTGTGTGTGTGTGTGTGTGTGTGTGTGTGTGTTAGACAACTTGAAGCAACAAATGGAATGTGCAAATAGTGCAATACTCACGCAACGCAATGTGTGCGGCCACATCGGCCGGAAAACTGCGCTGATTTCCGCTTACATTGCAAACGGCAATTGTGCGCAAATTCAACTCTTTGGCCTTGCACAGCACGTTTCTGTAAGGGCAGAAGAAATGTTGAATTGAATCACAGCGAATAAAAGGGTTATGCAGTCAAGGGTACAACTCAAGAGAGGGTTAATATTCCCGTTGCTCTGACGCAAATCTAACTTTAATATTATCTGCTAAGCTAAGGGATACGGGATTTCATTATACTTGTACAGTACGAACGCGATTCCTCGATTTTCTAAACTCTATAAAACTGTCTCTATTGTGCCGAGAAAAATGATATTTCAATAAAAAACATATTATTTCTTTCATGAGATTAAATGCCCTGCTAATGTTCAAATATGTTCAAAAAATAAATTTTCCAATAAAAATTAAGTTTCAAGTAAAAAATTTGTCCTCGCAAGGTCCAACAACTTCGAAAAGGTTTCCTTTAGTTGTAATTAACGAGTTCATACTGTATTTTGAATACAAACAGACTTGAAAACTTCTAAGCCTAGTAGAATTCTTAAATACAAGTTTGATTTTACGGGTCTCGCTATTAAAAATTCATTTAGAAAACTTGCTATTATTTATTAAAAAAAACTATAAACAATTAAATTTGGTATGTGCTGGTTTTCAGTTTTGGCAGTTTTCATATTTTTAAGTCAAAAGCCGAACTCAATTTTTTAATGTGACAAAAATATACAAGTATGTGTTTGAAAACTGCAATCCAATTGTTACAATACATGATGATTTCTTGAAGTCAAAGACCCATATCCTAAACCTATTCCTCTAACAATTCCAAAAACGTCTAAACACTCTTGCAAAATATATGGAAAAATATTTCTGGCTAGAAGGCTTAAATTAAAAATAAATATGCAATATTGAAATAATATCCTAATATTTCATATCCCAAACCTATTCCTCTAACAGTTCCAAAATCCTTTAAACTGCTTTGCAAAATATTTGAAAAAATAATTCTGACTAGAAGGCTTAAATAAAAAGACTAAAATAATATATTATATAAAATAATAATAATATCCTAAACCTATTCCTCTAACAATTCCAAAATCCTCTAAACACTCTGGCAAAATATTTGGAAACATATTTCTGGTTAGAAGGCTTAAATTAAAAAAAAAAATGCAATATTGAAATAATATCCTAAAATCCCATATCCTAAACCTATTCCTCTAACAGTTCCAAAAACCTTTAAACCCTTTTGTGAAACCTGCATCTGATTTGGCTTTTATAATAGATTTTTCTCTGACTGTAGCACGATGAGGTGTACTTAAGGGTGTGTTTGGAACGCACCTGTAACAGCAGTGCAGCGTATTCTCAGCGGCCGTCTTGAACTTCTCCTTGTAGGCGGGGGCAACGGTGTGCAGGACATACTTGGCGGGCAGGTTATAGCCGCGCGTGACGCGTACATCGCCAGTGCGGCATTCTGTTCGTTGGCAATAACAAATGAAATGTTACAAAGAACGGCATAAACAAAGTGGTAGATGGTGGTGGAGGTGGAGGTTGAAATGGAACTGAAGGTGGAGTTCAGTGAGTCGCCTTACCTTTTATTGTTGTGCTTAGCTCCTCTTTGAGCTGATTGCCTGCCACGGCCAGGATGCGCTCCGATATGCTATTGCTTTCAGTCAATGTTTCATCGCTGGTATTGGTAATGGCGTCCACATCCAATGTGGTCATGTCGCCATCCCTGGGGGAAGGAGAGAGCGCATTGCATTAGGATAATCAAACAGAGAGAAACTTATGCAGCCGGCACTAACCAAATCACCAAGCGATTGTTCACATCTTTGGATAATGGAAATGGACTGCAATTGTGCCTGGGGCCGCCAAGCGTTGAGTAGTCCGTGATGGGCAGTCGTGTGTCCGTTTTCTGTGAGCCACCCCAGGTAGCTAGATTATCCAATTTGATTAACTGTGCATGGAGGGGGAGAGAGCAAACATCATCATGTTCAAGGTTAATGGTTCGCGTTAATTGAAATGTGAAACTGCGATGCAATCAATTTTTAATTTCGCTATCGTGCGACCAGTTTCAACAGCAATTCGATTATTCATTTTTCCACTTACACATGAGCTGGATTCGAACGCCTTAAAGTCCACATTTGAGTTCGTGTCGAGACGCATTTCTCTGTGGAATATGAGAAAGGGGGGAGATAGTGAGTCATTAGTCGCGGCTATCTAAACAACATGTGTCTCTGTATCTGCATACTCGTATGTTTGTACGGGCATATGGAAACCCAAACCGCAAGAAACCCACACTTTTCGAGACTCACACACTCGTACACACAAAGCTGTATTTAATTTATATTAAATGCCGTTTTTGTGACTGCTTTGCAAACCGTAATTTAAAACCAAACAAAGTTTATTTACGGCAATACAATACAAGGACCAGATGTGTCCAGTTCTAGCTGCCCACTACTTGTGCGATATGAAACTTCTGGAAGAGTATACGTATACGTGTTGCTTATCTCTAAGGCAGCGTTTCTCACATGAATCATGAGATAGTATTGCTCACGACAAATGTTTTCAAGTTTTCCGAAACTCAGGCTATCTGATTGCAATTTCTTAAAGATAGAACTTGTATTGTAAAAATTTAAAACAAATCGTGCAAACTTGCCTTTGTACTTAGCGCTTTGAGCTCAAGTAGCTTGACTGTGCAAAGGTATAGTAATGGGTTGGGTTAATGAGACAACAGTCAGTATAACACTAATAACATTTAATTAGTCTCAAGATATTGTAGCTACACCATTTTTAGAAAACATTCCACCTTAGACACATTTGAAGATTCATTTAGAATGGCAATCATATGATAGAAATGGAATTTCTGGACAAATAAGTTGCTCATCTGACTGCATCTTTACTTAGAGGTCTAATAGGCTTATAATTTAATCTAAGATTAGACTTCTCTTCCAACATTAATAATAAAAATATTTCAAAATAGCTGAATACTAAATATTTGATTAATTTAATTGACTTCATTTAATCTAAGATTAGACTTCTCTTTCAATATTAATATTTATTAAATATTTGTTCTTCTTTAATTTAAGATTAGACTTCTCCTTCAACATTAATATTTATTAAATATTTCTCTAATTTAATTAACTCTCTTTTAATTTAAGATTAGACTTCTCTTTCAATATTAATAATAATATTATTTCAAAATAGCTGAATACTTAATATTTGTTTAATTTAATTGACTTCATTTAATCTTAGACTTCTCCTTCAACATAAATATTTATTAAGTATTTGTCTAATTTAATTAACTCTCTTTGAAGATTAGACTTCTCTTTCAATATTAATAATAAAAATGTTTTAAAATAGCTGAATACTAAATATTTGATTAATTTAATTGACTTCATTTAATCTAAGATTAGACTTCTCTTCCAATATTAATATTTATTTAATATTTGTCTAATTTAATTAACTCTCTTTTAATTTAAGATTAGACTTCTCTTTCAATATTAATAATAATATTATTTCAAAATAGCTGAATACTTAATATTTGTTTAATTTAATTGACTCTCTTTTAATCTAAGGTTAGACTTCTCCTTCAACATTAATATTTATTTAATATTTGTCTAATTTAATTAACACTCTTTTAATTTAAGATTAGACTTCTCTTTCAATATTAATAATAATATTATTTCAAAATAGCTGAATACTTAATATTTGTTTAATTTAATTGACTCTCTTTTAATCTAAGATTAGACTTCTCCTTCAACATTCATATTTATTTAATATTTGTTCTTCTTTTATTTAAAATTAGACTTAGTAAAAATTATTATTAGTAAAAATATTTCAAAATAGCTTAATTACTAATTATTGCTTACTTTAACTTAAGTTGCTCGAAACATTTTTGTGCAATCTAAAATGGCTTACAAGTAGCAAATATTGCCAATCGAAATTTAAATTGTAAATACTCTATGAAAGCTGTCAGCATTCATAATTTCCTGACTCGACCTGTCAGCAAAGCTTACCTACATCCTGCCAGAATATTAATTGTAATTATCAGCAGCTTTTGTTCAAATACTCGTAGATGTTAGTCATGCCATGATATAATTCCTTTATTTGTTCTAATTTCAAAGCCAAGCAATTTAGCATTTTTGTTCCAAGACTGGCAAAATAAATAGTGGCGTTGGTTGCGTCAGACTTTCGTCTGCGGAATAGTTTTAATTTAAAAATGTGTTTTGATTGTGCTGCGCAGGTAAAGAAGTTTTTTCCAGCTTTCAAAATGAAGCAGAGGAAATCCATTTAAAGCTCTCATATCTAATAAAGATTTAAGGCACTTTGTAACTTACTAATCAAAAGCTAATAAGCAAACGAAGAGATTACGAGTGGCAGCACCAACAACAACAACAACAACAACAACAACAATGGCCGCAATCAAAATGCAAAACTAAATATTTGCCTCCTAATTGCCGGGCTGAAAACCAGTTGGCTGCCATCACGTCAGCCATAGACGACGTTGCCCCTTAAATGGCTTTATTCGCAAGTAAACACAAAAATATATCAGTGTGTGGGTTTATGTAAATGAGCTTCATTCATTCATCTGCTCGCCAGCAACTTTTCACCGTTCGACTTTCTGTTCTACTTGTACTATATATGTACATATGTACACATACTTGTACATATATATTGCTCTTCTCCAGCCTTCTGGCAATTCGTGGGCTCTTGAGTGCTGCTGCATGGTGTCATTCGCATTGTTTGCCACCTTCTTGCTGAAGTGGCCCACACATGCGTTTCTATTTTTGAAGCCAATTTTCACGTGCGTCATGCTAAAGACACCTATGTATGTATGTACGTATGGCTCGGCCCTTTTCTTTTGATATTACTTTTTGTTTTGTTTGTGCTCGTTGCATGCAGCATGGAGTGGGCGTCAGGGCCATGTCAATGAAGGTGCGCATCGCCAGTTAGTCGCATGAAACTGCAGTAGGCGTGCCACAACAACAAACAAGCCCACCTCCACCCACCAGTTGAACTATGAACTTTGGCAATGCGAGCCAGGTAACAAGGAAGGCTGCGCAGGCACACTTCAATGTTCAACTGCAACTAGGCTTAGTGAGGACTGAATCTAGTGAAAATTGTTGTTAAAATAAGCAAATGATCTGCTGATTATATTTGAATAGAATACACCTAATTCTGTTTTTGCACGGTAGATGGGTTCCAGAAAAAGTCGTCCAATAAAAAAACCGTGTAAAAAAAGACATTGATCAGAATCAAAAACAGGTGATTGGTTCCTCATCGCTAAAACCTATTAAAATCAGCATAACGACCCATATAGGAATGGTTTCCAGCAGTTTGTCAGCTGTGTGTGTTTCTATTTATATTTATTTTTGTGTTATTTAGAATCGTGCTAAATCGAATAAAGTCGTGCAACCATATATAAAATTTTTCATTTTCAAACCGTGTTAAAACAGAATTAGGTGTATAACAAAAACTATGCATGCGATTTGTTTCGGCAACTGTGTTATACAAAAAAAGTTCTCAGCATTGCATTTTTCAGCAATTTTTATTCCATTTTGGCGCCCAATCATACCAAATATTTATCTAACATTATTATTAATTAACTTTTTGGAGCGTATTCGAAAACAAGCTGTCGAAATAGGCAAGAAATTGTAGCTCTTTTTAATTTAGTTTCAAAAATCTTACTTAATTCTGTTATCTACTTATTACAAAACTAAACCTTGCACAACAAATATCACGTTTCTTATAAGACTTTGTTGAAATTTTCTCCACCTGTGCTCTTTAGATAATTCAGATTTTCTTCATTAATACTCGTGCTGTCTCTTCTAATATCTGAATAATAATAATATCGATAATAATATCGAGTTTATGATATCGAGTTTATGATAATCTTAGACGCTTAAGAAGAGAACGCTCCTCTTAATTGAAATTAAGTCCCACTGTCATGGATCGATAATTCTTATGAAAATATATCAAAAATCATTTGAAATATGGCGTTTTTATGCTCTTTTTTTTTTTTGAGTCACAACCATTTATTGTTGTACTGTTTTTTCTCGCTGGCGGTTGTCGTTTTCATTGACGTAAACAAATGACAATATACGAGTAATAACATGCCAGGCATTTGCACCCAATTTATACTTTTTGTTTGACTTCGCAGCCAGTGTTAATTTGCTGGAAACAATTAGCCATCAGTTGACATTATCGTGTATTACCTGTATATACTACAGATGCAACAACTGACCCGAATTGCACGAAGCATATACATACTTGTACATATGTACTATATACTATACATACATATAGTCTGTGTGTTACTCAGCTTTAGTTCCCACCCAGATGCTTGTGGTTTGATGTCTTGCTGGCCATGGTTTGTGAAGCTGGCGGCGGTTTTCGGTATTTGCTTTTAATTTCTGATACCGCCAGCAGGACATAGAGCACAATTTATGGCAGTTGAAACCATGAACGGTGCTACATATATACTAGTATTACATATGTATATGCTCGATGCCAAATGCCAAATTGTTGTATATGCCTGTTATATCATTTCCATATTAAATAACATGAAGAGCGAGGGCCAGCGCAAAATTGCAATTACATATCTGAAATGTCTTTTATTGCGAAATTCCCATTTGAGTTTCCAAAAATATTGCTACACGTTTTAATTGAGATTTGAGCACCAAAAAAAAAAAAAAGTCAATTAAACGCTTGTGGGGCGCTGCACGTTGGACGTTGGACGTGCCTTTCTGTTTGGCTCCAACCTGCAGTTATGAGCAAGAACGTCAAGATATTGGGCCACACCCAGCACAACAGGTTTGATTCAGCATACAAAATTGGCAAGTACTATACTATATAGTAGCTAGCAAGTGGATGCATACTCGACACTGCCGTTTACACTTGCACGGCCCGACAGCAACCGTTGGCTGAGTGGCGTGTACTCGTATGCACATTTTTAAGTTAATTACGTCTTAGCTGCCATTTTAATTGTCGGGCACAAGCGACGCTTTGGCTTGATAAGCTGGCAGCTTATTTTGGCATTGTTTGTGCTTGTGTTTGTGCTTGTGTTTGTGTTTGTCACTCAAGCAAATAAAATACACACTCAGAGCCACTAGACGGATGGGATGGGTGCGTTTGTCTGGGGGGGCTGTGTGTGTCGAGCGAACACAT